ATAGACAATTGTTATATGATAGTTATGAAATAGGAAATAGTAGAGAAAATTGACTATCTCTGTTTGTTTCTAATGCGTCGACGGTTCGAGCCGATTAGCAAGCAATGCACACATCGAAGGGAAACGAATCATATCAATTTTAAACACTAATACAAAAGATATACTTGTACCAACAATACCTTTGATTCATTTGTAAGGTTAGTGCTGACTTATTCGATTGACATATGTCGGTTTGCAAATGCTAAACGTATTGAGCGGGTGCATAGGGTGTGTTTAAAATGGCCATTAATGTTATCATTCCAACTAGCAATTAAAGTATATATGAGCCGCGTCACGACAAAACCAACATAGTGGGTTTGCGACCAGCATGGATCCAGACCAGCCTGCGCATCTGCGCAGTCTGATCAGGATCCATACTGTTCGCTATCAGTTTCTCTACTTGTGATAGGGTTTGTAAGCGAACAGCATGGATCCTGATCAGACTGCGCGGATGCGCAGGCTGGTCTGGATCCATGCTGGTCGCAAACCCATTACGATGGTTTTGTCGTGACGCGGCTCATTTGTTTGAAATGCCAAGGTATTTGACCACACTGTATTACCGGTACCAGTGATAGCAGATTGCTTCAATGATGACAGAAATCTAAAGTTTTCTAATCACTACGGAAAGGTTCTAAACTTGGTTGGTATATCTATATCACCCATATAAGGACAAATTCATTGCTATAGACTTAATGTCTATTGACTGGAGATACTATCAGATAAATATGGTCTCGTTTTCTCATATCATTTAAATATGTTGAGCCAATTAAATATAACAAGTCGGAAAAATATGTGAAAATGATTGTGTTTTGTTCAAAATATCTCAACTTTGAAATAGGCGATTGATTTCGTGTTATATACATAAACATTCACCATTTAAGGTCACACGTGATAAATATCAACCGTGTGGGTCTTTTCATGAGAATGTTACAGGCGTCCAAACTAGCCTGTTAGAAAAGAAAATGCTGTCGTTTTAGGCAGAAATGTATATTTGAAGCTGAATTGTGTAGGTAAATTTAAATTGAGCTAAAAACAGTATTAGGTAAGTTTCTGTATTAAGTAAGATTTCACATATATTCTAGCTTGTCTTGCAAAAATTGATATTTTCCGGTTGAAATTAATTTTAACACCGGCTCATATAATATATGGTATACTCCTTACGTAAGATGAGGCGGATTGTTTTATGTATTAAAATCATTTCATCAATATATCCTTCTTAAATGAGATGATGTTATGTTTATTAATTTAATTTATGTATGCATGCATATGCTGGGTAAACAAATCCCACTAGAATAAAATCGTGCATATCATACGTGTTTATTATAGTCATCTCGATCTGCTATCACGTATTTAAACAAGTATGTATTTTTTTCATTCATTCATTCAGTTATTTATTTATTCATTAATTGTTAAATTCATCAAAGATTTTATTTTTCTACTTTCTTGTGTGAATAGATGCCAGTTTGAATTCACGTAAATGCTATTTAACTCATTAACTAAACATGCAAACTAGATTGGGTTCACTGATTTGCAATCTGCGCGTCAAAAGCATGTCAACTTTCAGATATTCACTATCCCTATCACTTCCTGCATTATTGACACCAATCTGTTTACCATAGCTGGATAGTTTTCTCATATAAAGATATACAACAACTCAAATATTGTCCGAGATGATTTTGAAATGATCATCTTATATGTAATTATCATTTACAAACTTGATACATAACATCAAATCATATCACAATAGATGAAACATACATGTTCATTGTAAACAAATATTAACAAGTGTTTTATCACAGATTTCTTTAAAAAAAAATAAGAAAGAACATTTTTCTATCACAGATAATTTTGCTATTTTTTTCCAAATTACTTCAATATGACAACAATTAAACCTGTAGTGAGTAAATTAACGAAACATCTATAAATACCTCTTTTTCCTCTATATAATATAATCTCACAAATCATTATTTTAGCTCACTGTGACATAATTATCTCCTTTATTAAAATTCATGCCAATTTTCATAAAACATTGAAAATATATTAAAAAGTAAAATATTGTGAAGTACTCAATTTCACACATTACAAACGGCACTTATAATACTCGTATAAATAAATTGCCAAAGTGATGTCAAATTATGCAACAAATTCCTTCACTGCGTTAGTCACGCAGCAGTCATATGCTTACAAATACTTGAAATTAGTCATTAATTGCACATAATATGTAAATTATTATTTGAATCTTGAATATTTTTACTTGTATATTTTTCTAAAGTTATTTTCTGAAATTTTTGGGCTCATCTGGAGGTATGCAGCTTTAAATAATATTTGCAACAGTCATGTAACTCAAAAATTTCTAACGACCACACATGAACAATGCTTTATTTGCGTAATTAAAAATATAAAAAATATGAAATTGTAAAAAAAATACATACAAAATAAGAGTTTTTAATACACATGGTGATTTATCAAAAAGAGGATTTTTTAAGAAATTGATTTTCGAATTCCGTACACATACAGCTTTCACATGAGACTTATTATCCTTTTGGACATGAATTTGAAATAAATGGTCCCTGTCACAGGTACTATTACATCGTATTTTAACTTTTGACTTTATTGCTATATATTAAATTTTTAACTACCCTGTAATATAACGGAGCAATTTGTTTTTCTTTACGCAACCTCGAACCTCATAAACATGAACATATAGAAATGTTTCCGATAATAATCAACATGTTTTTTACATGATTTATGCAGTGTTTAAATTAGAAACAACATATGTTTTTCTTAAACAGGAAATAATAACAGAAATATTTAAAGCAACTCGTCCGCACTTTTGTATTTTGTTTCTTGATGATATTGTTTTTATTATGGAATTGAGAAGTTATTCAAAACGCTTGGAGGTGTATAAACACTTAGATATCGTAGAATTTAAAACAAAAAGAATTAAAAAAAATAACATCTTTAAACTAAATAAGAACAGTTATGAAGAAAATCTATATAATCTATATATCATGCTTTTAATGTGTATGACAAATATTATGACAAATAAATATGTGAGTAGATTAAGAACAAAGTTTGAGCAAGTCGCTTTAAATAATCAAAGAAAATAATACATCTCAAATAGTTATTATGTATGTACATAAATGAAGAAGAAAACAACAGACGCCATTGCATTAAACGGGTAGACTATCATAAATACACAAACACATCTCTATCATCTTACACGTAAAATCAGAAAACAGATACTGGTTTTAAAATCTAATGAGACTTTTCTTTCTTATCAAATCACGTTTCTTTTTATTTTCATTACAATACAGTATTGCGTCATGATTAATATGCATGTAAAATCGATTTTTGGGCATATTCAAACTATTTATCACTTCATAAAGGCCGCAGGTACATTCATTACATATGGTATGTAATGAATTTTTCTAGGAAATAATCACCCAACATTAATTATACTATTAAAATAAACACCGGATTCATCATCTGCATATATGTATATGCAATGTATACTTTGTATTCTTATGTCAAGATTTTGAACTCCATTTGCATACTGACAAACTGCATTCGATAGTATAAGCTAAGACCCTCTGTTATAGGCATTTGGTACTGAAGAATGCATTAATGTTACAAAACTTTAGAAGGGGAGCAAAATGTATTGATATGATTGATGACTGCGATTTCTATTATGAAAAAGTTTTTTTTCTACTATCATCTAAACTAATTGTCTCTGGTCAATTTAACCCTTTGTCCTTCAGGTGTCTTTACCCAACGACGCTCGCCAGTTCTTGTGTTGTATTCATACACATTATTTGTTGCTGAAAATGAGAAATTTACAAGACCTTTACAACATCAATCAAATGATGACAACACCACCGATAAAGCACACCATATATGATGATGTACTCATGTATGACTGTTTCAGACAAAATATATTATGTTTACTTGATTGACAGTTTCCATCGCTATATAGCTAGAAACAAAAATGGAAACTTGACTAAAATCCATTGAGAAGAGTGAAAACATCTTTTTTTTAAACTTGCAAGAGCACGAATTTTCGACAGTTCGAATAAAGATATAGACCATAATTATGAAAAGCACCTGCAATATACTGTATCTTTTGCAACTGATAATGCAAAATACCATGACCGGCATTAATTGCTGTGACTAATGTATGATCCGTTCCGACACAGAGTTACCTTGATAATACTCTCCCTTGAACTTAAAGTAAGTAACGTTTTAAAAATAAACCGTTTAAAGGTTGAACATACTTGGATCAATTGCACGACCATCAAATTCTCTGTTTATCACCATATAATTTGCGCTATCTGTAGGCAAATCGGGTCCGTCTTTAGCCGTTACTTCGGGACGGGGCGGCCTCGAAGCTGGGGGCCGAACCGGTGCTAATCGACGAGGTGGTTGAGAAGTCTCTGTTGGCACTGGGCTACTTGCACGGAGCTTTTCCGGTTTCTTAACAAGTGTCGGACCATCCATTTCCGGACTAAAGAGGTTGACATCTTTTGGTCTATCAACCGATTTGTTGCCTACTTGAAAGGGAACTTTCTTTGTCTGTGGATAAAAATACGAACACCAAAATCATATTATAAGACAAAAATTAAATACATTAACCATAAAATAATTAATTTTGATAGAAATCTTCAAACAAAACGCTATGTATTTGTTAAATATTGATACAGTTATGCTTTAACGTCTCAAATAAAAAGTGACTTTTTAACAAACTTTTAACGAATATGCCATTAAAATAACATTTTGATCAAACAAAGTACTTACAGCTGAAGGCATCGGTAATGCAACTACGGGTGGAGGTAAATGTGATTTATCAAATGGTTTTGGCTCTTTGTCAGCTGAAAGAAAAAACAATCATTGATTATATAACACTATTAAAATATCAAACTATTATTTAAGTTTGCTGTACATTTCACGTACATGGTCTTTTATAACTACTATCACACACATTGTACTTTTGAAAAATTATCATCAAAAGGTAAAATTTCACCAGAGGCTCGTACATTTATACAGAACTTATTGATTAATACATGTTTTGTCAAAGGAAAAAGCATCTTAGTAAAGTATTTGCAATGTTTATCCTGCTGTAATTTTTGAAACATGAAAATCTTTATGATGATAACACAGACTGCAAAATAGAATAAAGTCAACATAATTTAAATTACAAAACGTTCCTGTCCTATCATTTTTTATTTCATTTCATTTATTTACTTATTTAGTTTTAGCTTTATATTGAAAATACCTAATAGGCAAAATAATGACTTGGAATAAATTCGTATGGAAGAAAAAATAAATATTTTGTTCAAGAAAAACTCTGACATGAAGTGTCCTTATCGTGAGGATGACTGTTAAAAGGTTTTTAGCCTACAATCCTAATATATCCACAATATATCCACAAATTGTGTACACAAACCAATGCAAATTAATGGCTTAAATCACAAAAACACACACTGTCAAAAACAAAACACTACAAAACAAATTCCTTTTTCTGAGTGATCTTCAATAAAGACTAATAATTAGTATTGGCATAACTGTTCATATTAGCATGACATAGCTCCCTCTTATCATAAAACATAAAATGTGGCTGCATAATCAAATGGTTAACGCGTCTTATGATCGTTAGCCCCGTCTAATTGTTTTCGCCTTAAGCAAAAAACTTTACAGTAATTGCTCAGTACTGGTTGGTTCCGAAAATGGATTCGAAAGTGTGATTAGAAGTTTATAGCTTCTTTCACAATCGAATTTAAATAGATTTTCGTATAAACTAAAGCCAACAAAGGTGAGACCGGGATATTAAACAAGAGGGCCATGATGGCCCTGAAGTCGCTCACCTGTATATAGGCCCCCCGGAGCGGGGCAAGTTTAAACCCCATGGCTTTTATTTGAATAAACTTGGTAGACACCCATTAGAAGATGTTTCATGCTAAACATCTAAGGTCTAGCTTGTTGGGTTTTTTAAAAAAAAGATTTTTTAAGTTTTTTCTTTACACATATACTAGTATTTAAAAACAATGACACAACCTAGGGCAGGGCCAGTTTTGACCCCAGGGCTTTTATTTGAACAATCTTTGTAGACACTTACCAGAAGATGTTTCATGCTTAATATCTAAACTCTAGCTATTCGGGGTTATTTCCAAGAAGATTTTTAAGTTTTGCTATACACATATAAGGAAAATCAATGTCCCCCGGGGCGGGGCCAATTTTGACCCCAGGGCTCTTAGTTGAACAAACTTGGTAGACTTCCATTAGAACATGTTTCATGCTAAATATCTTAGCTCTAGCTCTTTGGGTTCTTTAAAAGAAGTTTTTTAAGTTTTTACTATATTCATATAGGGAAAATCAATGACCCCCTGGGGCGGGGCCAATTTTGACCCAGGGCTCTTATTTGAACAAACTTGGTAGACATCCATTAGAACATGTTTCATGCTAAATATCTTAGCTCTAGCTCTTTGGGTTCTTTAAAAGAAGATTTTTAAGTTTTAACTATATGCATATAGGAAAAATCAATGACCCCCTGGGGCGGGGCCAAATTTGACCCAAGGGCTTTTATTTGAACAAACTTGGTAGACACCCATTAGAAGATGTTTCATACTAAATATCTTAGCTCTAGCTCTTTGGGTTCTTTAAAAGAAGATTTTTAAAGTTTTTACTATATACATATAGGGAAAATCAATGACCCCCTGAGGCGGGGCCAATTTTGACCCCAGGGCCTTTATTTGAACAAACTTGTTAGACACTCACTAGAAGATGTTTAATATCAAATATCTATGTTTTTTAGAAGATGATATTTAAAGTTTTTTCTTTTGGTTGCCATGGCAACCAGAGTTCTGCATGGAATTAAATTCTTTGAACAATTTTCAAAGGTGACCACCAAAGGGACATTCATGTGAAGTTTAGATGAAATTGGCTCAGCGGTTTATGAGGAGATGTCATTTAAAGTAAAAGTTTACGGACGACGGACGGACGGACGCCGGAGGAAAAGCGATCTCAAAAGCTCACCCTGTCACAAAGTGATAGGTGAGCTAAAAATTACATTCATGTCAGAGTCACCGAATATAATTTACGGAAGCTGTTATTTTCTCATTGAATATGTCACATGGTTATTATCATATATTTCTGTTTATCAAAGAAAACGACCAAAACAAAACATAACAACACACAATATCGCTAAATGTTGGCCTCCGCACATCAAAAAAGGCTAATGCATGCATTTGCAAAATTATTTACAAAAGAAAAAACTAGCTTATATAAAGGCTAGCGCGAGAGCTGGAATGCACCAAAACTTACAAACACCCGTTTGTGGTCTTGAAACGTCTGAAATTATGATACAACGTCTCTGTGAAAAATATTTACATTTTTGATATATCGAACCATATGAAAGCCTCTTGTATACAAGTGCAATTCTAGCAAACAGATGTACTTAATGTAAATCGTATTCGTTACAAACTTAACCTCATTTCATTTGAAATGCTCATGAATTTCATGAAAACAAATTGGAATTATAAAAAGGTCATCTTATTAACAATATAGCCTTTAATGATCTCAACGAATGAATCTTGATAATCTGGATAATGGCATACACATAGTTTTGTAGGTACAACAGCAAAATATTGTCACACTTTCAATAATAAAAATGCATTTTTAAAACAGTAGAGTACTTTTTTTAACGACAAAAGTAAAATACTCCGGGTAGTATTTGTAATGGATGCAATGAGTGACGGAGTGAATATCCGTTTAATTTGTATCTGTGTAGCGATGATTTAAAATAGATATGTACAGGAATTTTGATGGCAAGTGTCAGATGTTCCTGTTTTATAAAACAAGCGAAGTAGTGAACGAATTGAGGGACAGTAAATAACATTGAGAACCTCCTGGTGGCATAGTGATCTGTCAGTCATCCTGCAAACAAATAACGAACCGAAGCCGAAGGCTGAAGTCCTTTCATTGTTTAACGAGGTTGGCTTGGAGGAAATTATATTGTTATGAGGTCTGAATAACTGTAATATACCGCACGTTGCTAAAAATGTTTAAATGTCAAATATAGTATAATCGTATTTTATAAAAATATTCTTAGCTTATATATACTCGTGGATGTCTGACAGCAGGACAATAATGCATGCTCAGGCGGTAACTATACCTCTTCATCTGATAGATGACGTCATTCCGAGTACTGGTTATTATATCATTTAAAGACCCGATGACCATTATATAAACAAACGAGAAAGAAATTTATATAATGAATAATAAAGTGAAATAAGAGAAAAACGCACAGAACTAATAAAAATCTACTTTTATTTAAATCAAGAATCACTTACTAAGGTATATAAAGAATATTCGGAATGTTAAAGCATATTTATAATCATGTTTGTCCCTCGAAAATATCTGGTACTTACTGAATATCATGTTATTTTTGTGATGATATTGATTCTTGGCCACCTTATCGCCCTCGTCACTTTCACCAACTTCCACACGGTTACTATGTCGACCTCTACAATATTTTAACATTTTTATCAACGATTATTTATTTAAAGTAAAAAACAAAAAAGTATAATGTGCCTTTAAATTATATTCTTGCGTTACATGTATTCAGATGGTTCATGTATATGGTCAATGAGTATTTATTTGAAACTGTTATAAGATACCAATATCAAAAAGGTTTTGAGAAATAAAAATGATATCATTTTACGTGGTTTTTTCTTATTGCGCCTTAAAGGGTTATATACAAAGTCTTACCCTGACGGATGTCGCCAAGTATAACATAGACAGGCTATCGCAATAACTACCAGTGCGAACACTGCAGCGGCTACAACTGACACTGTCACAATACCAGGTGTGGTTTTTATCCAGGGTTCAGATTCCTCCTCTGTCGAGTCGGGCTGGAATTTTTCAACCCGTGTTATCACGAACGAAGTCCAGCTAATTCCTGTAAGTATGTTAAAGTTTAGTTTTCTAACTGGCTGTGTTCCTTTTATGGTCATGTTTATGATTTGATATAAAGAATCGGGTTTACGTATTTTTAAGGGATATGGCGATAAGAAAACCATAATGGCCTGTTTATGAGAGATATTTAATAATGCAATCTCTAGCTTTTGTCCAAATTAATTTCTCGAATTCCGATTAGCTTACACGCTTTGTAATCTGTGATGTGAAAACCTTGACGATCGGAAGCGCGAACGAATAACAAGAGTTTTATTGTAGACTGTTACCTACACGTACGCATATAATCAATTGTTACTTTTCATTTATGGTATATATCTTGATCCATAAATGAGCCGTGTCATGACAAAACCAACATAATGGGTTTGCGACCAGCATGGATCCAGACCAGCCTACGCATCCGCGCAGTCTGATCAGGATCCATGCTGTTCGCTATCCGTTTCGATATTTGTTATAGAGTTGTAAGCGAACAGTATAGATCCTGATCAGACTGCGCGGATGTGCAGGCTGGTCTGGATCCATGTTGGTCGCAAACCCATTATGTTGGTTTTGTCATGACGCGGCTCAAATAATTTTTTCACGAAACTTTTGGAAAGTTATACCGCAAAGGAGGAATATATACTTGCATTACTTCTGCTTGGGCAGCGTTCGCGTAGCAGTTAAAAATCCCACGTGCATTTCGATGAAAATACTTAATAGCTGTTGATTTGTACTAATAAGGCGTGGGGCAAAGAATATTATCTTAACACTTTGCTCTTTGTGGGTTTTTTTCTCTTAAGCTAGTCATCTGATAATTTGACAATATGCCAGCGAAGATCATATCATATTCAATAGCTCCTTAGTCAATAAATGTTTATTGTATTTTTGTAATATCGTTATTAGTCCCCTACCGGTTTAACCGGAGGGGACTTTAGGTTTACCCTCCGTCCGTCTGTCTGTCTGTCCGTCTGTCTGTCTGTCCGTCTGTCCGCACTCACAGGAGAGTAATTATGTGGCTAGAGGGACAATAGGTAACTGTTCTTTCTCTTTGATGTCATTCATTCTGTAATTCTTTTATGTGGCTATTTTCTTTTGTGTGGCTAAAGAGAACAATAGAGAGAACAAAAGAGTAGCCACATAATTACTGTCCTGTGAGAACGTCCGTCTGTCCATCTGTCTGTCAGTCCGTCAGTCCGTCCGTCCACAAAACTGGATCCCGCGATAACGCAAAAAGTACTGAAAATATTTTTATGAAACTTGATATATGGATAAATGGCAGTATGGAGATTATGCACGTCTTTTTTTCTACCTATGTTGAAAATTCTGGTTGCTAGGGCAACAAATAGTCTGAAAATATGGCAAATTTAACACATAAACTGGATCCAGTGATAACTTAAAAAGTACTGAAAATATTTTTATGAAACTTAAAATATGGGTAGATGGCAGTCTGGAGATTATGCACATCTCTTTTTCTTTTCTTCCTATATGTTGAAAATTTCTGGTTGCTATGGCAACAAAATAGCCTGAATTTCAAGATTTCTGATTTAAATTTTTCAGCCTTTTCACTATAAGTTCTTTATTTCTTAAGGTGTTTACTTCAAACTTTAAATATAACTTTCTGGTCATCAACCACATCATATGTGACAAGGTTTACAACTCTAGCACAAAAATTATCAGTATTACCTCCCTTGAACTTAGAATTTTTATGTAAAAAAAAGTTGTCTTTTTTAAATAACTTCTTTATTTCCTTAAGTATCTACTTCAAACTTCATATATATGTTTCTTATTATCACTTAACATTTTTGAGAAGGTTAAATACTCTAGCAAGACTATTTCCAGAATTATGTCCCCTTTGAACTTAGATTTTTTTCGAGAAATTGGTATTTTTCACTCCACCTTCTTCATTCCTTATAGGATTACTTTAAAATCCCACATTGTAATAATATGACAAGGTTGTATAAACATAATTTCCTTACTAGGCAGGGAAACTTAACACATTACTGTGATATAGACAAACTTAGAACTCAAAAGATATAAGTTCATTCATGTCATTCATTCACTGGTAAAATTGAATGGCCAATGGCCCATCAGAATGTTGCTGGGGTTCTTACCGGTAGGGGACTTATGGATTGCTTGCAATACTATGATAATTGCTTGTTTTATATTCTTTACGTCAATAAGAATATCGTATGCATTATTTTCAATTTATTATACAAGTTGCTGACGAGATTTGCACGTATATATGCTGGCACCTCGGGTCATATTTATTTCATTATATTTTTCCGTATAAACACGACTGTTTAATCTTTCAACAGTCTTTGATTAAAGGGGAAATAACTCATATATATGCATAACATCAACGTGCAATTATCCCTCAATGTTGAAAACGTACAGTATTATAATGTGCTATATAAATGTACCTGAAATTACGCCAGCAGGAGTACCAGCATCATCAGAGGCTGTTATAGCGTATGCTTCGTCCATGGTTAGAAACTCTTTGTCAGTGTTTAACTCAGCCTGGTCATCAGTAGCATCATCATTCTTTATAACATACACACGTACAATACAAGACCTATGGAAAACCAAAGTTGTAAACAGTTAACACGTTCAATGTAAGACCTGTATAATACAAAAGTTGTAAACACGTAAAATGCAAGACCTGTAGGATGTCAAAGTTGTAAACACGTAAAATGTTAGACCTGTAGAATATCAAAGTTGTAAACACGTAAAATGCAAGACCTCTAGAATACATACCACTTACATCAACATAATGAATTAAAGAATAATTGGATACATACTCGGAAAATGAAAACGAGTCATTGAAAATGAAACCAATTGAATCCAATTAAACTGGAAAACGCTGGTCATTGCATACATTTGATCAAATGTGAAATCAACAATATTACACGAAAAGAACGTTAAAAACATTATTGTATACAGATTTTTTACACATACAATATAAGAACTGTATAATAAAATATTCAGGTAAACACGTGCAATTTAAAAATGTAACACGGTGTCTTTTGTACATTACAAAATAAAAACTGTTGCTTTCAGAAAAAGTGCAAAAATGTGCTATACAATATATGACTGCAGAATACTGAATATCAGTAGTATACACACAAAATTTGAGTTGATGTTAAATTTTACAATCAGAGTAGGTCTACATTTTTATACATTTTTAAATCAGGAATATTATAAATTACAAAGCATTTGCATAAATGTACATTGAATAATATGCGAACTCTTTCGCACACACAAATACATATATCTATGTTTGCTTTGATGTATGCATAAAATATCAAATACTTACGTTGTCGAATCTTCAATTACACACCATCGTTTTGCGAGAGATTGTGCATATGTTATTTGGTAAACAGTGGTGAGTTGGCTAAGGAAAGTTGACTCCATGCCAAGATATGTGCTTTTACTAATGTCCATGTAGTAATTTAGCACAACAGCGGAAGGATCATATGTGTCAATCCTTATAGTTGCTCCTGTTGCCGATACCAATGATGGACTTCCACCATCGGAAGCTGCTGCATACATCCTGTAACCGACACCAGCAGGCGCATTTGCAACCAAAGTTATAGCGCCTGTTAAATGTAAAATTATTTCGGTTTGGGTTTTTTTACAATAAAGGGGTGGTATCTTATTTACAGCGGTATGTTTTAATAACTTCAAACCAATATAATTCATCAGTCTGTCGTCATGCCAGTTACTACACTTAAGATAATGTATAGTTACTGTAATTAAGTTACAAAGGATGGTAGAAATCAAATAAATAAGCATTTCCTGTTTTTCTTTGTTATCGACGCGCGATATACTCTGATATTATACGACCAAAAGGCATTGAATAATTGTAAAATTAAGGATTGTTTGAAGTTTATATCATTGAAAGGGATAAAAATTTACCTGAAGATGAATCCAGGGAGAATAAGTGAGGGTTATTATTTGTTGTCACAGAATAAGTGATATCGGCATTTACTCCATCATCTAAATCAGTAGCTGTAACTGTTGTAATTGTGACTTGGCAATCGTCGTTGTATGCTATTTCAGAATTATAAAACGTAGGTGAAAACACTGGATTGTTGTCATTTTCGTCTCCTATTGTAATCTCTACTGATGTTGTAAATGACAATGGCGGAGTACCCTGGTCCGTCGCGGTTAGCACAAAATTTATATTTTGATATGTTTCTCTATCTATAGGTGACTTTACATAGAGAACAAAGTCTGTAGAATTAGGTTCAATGTATATATTTGCTGTAGAGTCTGAAATAGAAAGCACGATATTTTCGTTTACACCAGCATCTAAATCAGTTATAACCACTGTTACGATGCTAGATCCAGCAGGTTGGTTTTCTGTTGTTGTGGCAGTATATAATGTCTGACTGAAAGATGGTATATTATCATTGTAATCTGTTATTGTTATTGAAACCGTCGCTGTGGCAGTCAAAGTATTTGAACCACCATCTGACGCGCGGACAACAAAGACATACATTGATTGCGTTTCTCGGTCAAGACTTGCTGCTGTACTTATTTCGCCAGTTGACGTATCCAGGACAAAATGAGAGTTATCTCCTTGTGTGAAGTATGCAATAACATATATAACGGCTCCATTAACACCTGTGTCAAGGTCAGTTGCACTCACGCTATTTACAGAGGTTCCAGACGGAACTTGCTCAGATACATTGAAGAAATACGTAGTAGTGGGATCGGGTTGAAATATTGGGTAGTTATCATTAATATCACTTATAGTTACGGAAGCAGTTACTGTTGTGCTTAGTGCTGGAGTTCCATTATCAGCAATTGATACTTCTAACATATACTGGTCAGTCCTTTCTCGATCTAACGTATTCATAACTTGAATAAGTCCTGAGCTACTATCAATATAGAAATCATTATCGGTATTGCCGTTAGTTAAAGTGTAAGTTAAGACACTGTTTTCATTTTCGTCGTCATCAGTCACAGTTAAATTAAAAACAATAGTGTTTATAGCAGTGTTTTCAGCTATAGTTGAATCATATGTTCCCGCTACCACTGGTGGATTGTCATTTACATCAGTTATCACAATAGTATACGTAGCGGTTCCGGTGTTCTGGGACGGTGTTGCGCCTTGATCTGTAGCCAAGATGGTTAATGTGTAACTGAAAGATATTACCTATTGCTGTCAAAATGCATAAGTTATTTAGATTTAAAATTATTCAAAACTTTTATAGTTCTTTCGAATTTTGTATCTCAGAATTAAAAAAAAATATTTTAAATATGCAACTGATATACGTTTACGGTTATTCATATTGAAATTTCCTTAAGATATTATCATTGTATAAAACTATAGAACGAATTATAACTAGAATATGTTTAAGTAAGTAAAAGCAGTACAATGTAAATAATAAAAAAGTATCACCTAGCTGTGTTTTCTCTGTCAATGGCATTTGTAACAGTTATTGCTCCACTAGCACCGTCAATGGCAAACTTGTTTGATATTGGTGAAAATGTATAAATGATTACATTATTATTGTTGGCAGTGGAATCTGCATCTGTTGCAATAGCCGTCGCAACAGTTGTCCCAACAGCAGTTGATTCCAATATTGAAGTAGCGACGTTGGCAGCTTGAAAAACTGGCGTATTATCATTCAAATCAATCACCGTTATTTTCACTACACAAGTAGAGGACAGTTTTGTTACTGTTGCCCCATCTTCCGCTTTAATTACTAGATCATATGAGATAAGAGTTTCATAATCAATGACTGCGTTTGTTGTTATGATCCCGGAAGATCCATCTATAGAAAATATACCTGCCCCTGTTCCCGATACTATGGAATATGTTATGGCCCCATTACTGCCAGAATCACTGTCCGTGGCTATCACAGTTAAAACTGATGATGACGTTGCAACATTTTCATTAACGTTAGTAGAGTATGTATTTGAAGTAAAAGTAGGCGTTTCGTCGTTTTCGTCTGTAATATCGATTGTTAAAGTCATCGTAGCAGTTCGTGTATCTGCTGTGCTTTGTTGTTCAGTGTCTTGGACTTCTATTACCAATGTATATTGAGGAGTCGTTTCAAAATCTAAAGCAGTAGCGACTCGTACAGTACCATCAAAAAGATCTACAGAAAATGCGTTATTTGTATTTCCAGAAATCATATAATAACGTAAAACTGCAAAGTCTCCGGTATCGGAATCTGAGGCTGCTGCAACATATATACTATTACCGACGGTCTCTGCTTCTGATAGTGAAACTGAAACCATTGTTTGTGTAAACGTTGGTGCATGTTCATTTATAGCAACGACTTGAATAGTTACTATTGTTAAAGAACTTAAGACGGGTGTTCCTTGATCCTGCACGTTCACGGTAAGAATATATATTGACTGAGTATTTGCATCAACATTACCGTCAAGTGTTATCCAACCGGTACTACCACCGATACCAAATGGATTCCCAGTATTGCCACTAGTGATAGAATACTGAAGACCGGCTGTTCCAGCTGTCCCTGCATCATCATCTGTGGCTAATACCTGAACAAGACTTGCTGCGGATGCTGCATTCTCGTTTACAGTTATAGCATAAGATGATGGGTTGATTGTTGGATAGTTGTCATTTACATCGTTTATTGTTATAACGAACGTTTCTTCGGCTGATTTCATTGCAGCATCGCCGCTTATCATGTCACTAGCAGCAACAGTCAGTGAAAATGACGCAGTGTTTTCCCGATCAAGAGGCCCAGCCACTGTAATCCATCCGGTGGAGGAATCAATTGAAAAAAGACCAGCCGAATTTCCAGTTTTGATTTCATACCTAACGTCCCCATGGGTTGATCCAGTGTCAGCATCAGTAGCCGAAATTCTTACTACTTGATAACCAAAACTTTCATCCTCGTCTATAGAAGTATCATAAGGTGTACTTTGAAAGACTGGTGTGTTTTCATTTACCGGATCGACGTAAATTATCATGGTAAGGCTTGTGACTAGATTTGGTGCTCCTTGGTCATCTACTTGAACAGTTAAGGTATAGCTTGTTGTTGTTTCATATTCCAGTGCTGCCTGGAGCGAAACGGCACCTGTGCCGGTGTTTATCAAAAATTTGTTTTCGCTATTTCCGCTAGCAATACTGTATAAAAGAGTAGGTGATGCAACAATGTCAAGATCAGAGCAGATAGGAGAAAATATTGTCGTTCCAGGTGTCGTGTTTTCCGCATAAGTAGCAGTAAAACTTGAAGCATCGCAATTAGGATGATTGTCATTCTCATCATTGATTGTTATAACTATACTTGTTGTTGCTGTTAATGCAGACGTTGTTCCATCAGCAACCTCGATGTTAAGGGTATATGATGTAACCAACGGATTATCTCTGTCAATATCTGATTGTGTCTGAATTATACCACTTGACGTTCCAATTCTGAATTTTCCATCAGCATTACCACCTGTTATTGTATATATAAATGTAGTGCCTGATACATCGGAATCTGTAGCATTAATGTCATAAACTGTGCTCCCTATTGCTATGTTCTCGTTTATGGTGACAGTATAAGGTCCTGTCGGGTTGTAAGCAGGAGTGTTATCATTCACATCTACAAGTGTCACTCTAACTATAACATCATTGGTATGCATTCCATCAGAGGCTTGAACGGTTAAGTCAAACGTTGCTGTTGTTTCAATGTCCAAATTTGCATTTGTGGACACAACACCAGAATTAGAATCTACTGTGAATTCAGTGTGTCCAGAAGTAATGGAATACGTCAGAACGTTGCCAACAGTCGTATCTCCATCAGAGCAAGCTACTGTTACCACTGAAGTTCCAGATGCTGCATCTTCATTTACTGAGCCTGTGAATAGAGCTGCTGTACAAATCGGCTCATTGTCATTGATATCGTTTACGGTAAAAGATATGGTAGTCGTACCTGTGCGAAACGTTGCTTCCTTGTCAACTGCATGCACTTCTAATGTATATGATGTAGTTGTTTCATAGTCCAGAGATGCTACAAGTTTTACTTCTCCTAATGTCTTATCTATAGCAAACTTACCGTCACCATTCCCACTGAAAATGCTGTACGAAATTGAGCCTGGAAATATATATGTGCAATTTTGTGACTTTCTTTAATAAAGAACTTCCTACGAATATATGTCATATTTATTTAAATTCAAAGTCTGAGTGTACATCAATCTTCAAATGTAACTTTTCAAGCCGAAAATAGCATTGACAAGAACCGGTTGAACCGGGTGATGATCCCCGAGAAGGTGTTGGACACAAAAAAGTATAAAAAATGAACAAAGGGCAAAAATTCCAAAATTAGGCAAGGCGGAGTTATGTTTTTTTTTGCACTGCACTTCTAATCAATGAGATTTATTTATCTATAAATTTTCCTGATGATATCTCTTATAGTTTTAGAGTTATGTCCCTGGTAAAATTCAAAGTGTAGAAATACACAAAGGGCTATAACTCCAAAATTAGACAAGGCTTTGTTTAGCTTTTTAAGCATTGCAGTTCTATCCAATGGTATCTATCTACCTACAAAGTTTCATGTTAAAATATCTAATAGTTTTAGAGTTATGTCCCGGACAAAAGTCAAAAAATAAAAATTAACAAAGGGCAATAACTTCAAAATAAGGCAAGGCAGAGTTATGATTCTTTGGCACTGCACTTCTACGCAATGAGTAATGTCCCGGACAAAGTTCAAAGTGTCAAAATGAACAAAGGGCAATAACTCCAAAATAAGGCAAGACAGAGTTACGGTTCTTAAGCACTGCAAACCTACTCAATGAGATCTATCTATCTGCAAAGTTTCATGTTGATAACTCTTATAGTTTTAGAGTTATATCCCGGGCAGAGTTCAAATTGTAAGAATAAACAAAGGGCAATAATTCAAAAATTAAACAAGGCAGAGTTACGGTTCATATGCACTGCAAACCGAATCAATGATATCTATCTACCTACAAAGTTTCATGTTGATACCTCTTATAGTTTTAGAGTTATATCCCGGACAAAGTTCAAAGTGTAAAAATACACAAATGCAATAATTCAAAAATTAGTCAAGGCAGAGTTACGGTTCTTGTGCACTGTACACCAACTCAATGAGATCTTTCTACCTACAAAGTTTCATAATGATACCTCTTATAGTTTTAGAGTTATGTCCCGGACAATGTTCAAAGTGTAAAAATAAACAAAGGGATATAATTCAAAAAATAGGCAAGGCAGAGTTACGGTTCTTATGCACTGCACATCTACTCAATGAGATCTTTCTACCTACAAGTTTCATGTTGATACCTCTTATAGTTTTAGAGTTATGTCCCGGTCAAAGTTCAAAGTGTAAAAATAAACAAAGGGCAATAATTCAAAAATAAGGCAAGACACAGTTACGGTTCTTATGCACTTCACACTTACTCAATTAGATATATCTACCTACAAAGTTTCATGTTGATACCTGTCATACTTTTAGAGTTATGTCCCGGACAAAGTTCAAAGTGTAAAAATAAACAAAGGGCAATAATTCAAAAATTAGGCAAGGCAGAGTTACGGTTGTTCATGTGCACTGCACACCTAGTCAATGAGATCTATCTATCTGCAAAGTTTCATGTTGATGCCTCTTATAGTTTAAGAGTTATGTCCCGGACAAAGTTCAAAGTGTATAAATAAACAAAGGGGTATATTCAAAAGTTAGGCAAGGCAGAGTTACGGTTCTTGTACACTGCACATTTAATCAATGAGATCTATCTACCTACAAAGTGTCATGTTGATACCTCTTGTTGTTTCAAAGTTATGTCCCGGACAAGAAACGCGGACTGACGGACGGACGGACAAGGCGGCGACTATATGCTCCCCCAAATTTTTGTCTGGGAGCATAATAAAGAAGATCTAAAATTATATTGAGGTTAATAACTTGGTTTTATTTGTCAAAAATGCAATTGATATGTTTATGTTATGTTTGTCGGAAAGTAAAAGTAAGGCTATGCCTTTCATTTCAGTGATTCAGATTGTCAAAATACTGTCTAATTTTGAAAAAAAAATTATGAAACAACTTACACGCCATACCTTTCAAAAGTTGATCATTTGTATCAATTTATTTACAGGAATAATATACATAAGAAAGTTCAATCAAACGTACCAGCCAATCCTGTATCCGCATCAGTTGCAGCAACTGTTCCGACAATCGTAGCTAAAGGAATGTTCTCATTTTGGTTAAAATTGTATGGATCTAAAGTAAACGTTGGATCGTTATCGTTTACATCTGAAAATACAATAGTAAATTCATTACTAGAAAAAAATGACTATAAAATCATCTATAATCAAAGAAAGAGGATTCCAGTTAGATCTTAAAAACTGTTACAACCTAAAATAAATTTGATTTTATAGTGCCATATAAATGTACATGTAGATTACAAATCATTTTACAAGAATATAAAGAGATTGTGGTTAGAAGTTCTAATTATGTAATATCTGATGATTCTTGTTAAAATTTAACTATCAAAATAAATGATTCATCACCGAAAGTGTAAACTAAAACGACATATTGAATGTGGCGATATGTGCCTACGAAAAGGGAAAATAATGCTTGTTTATACATATTGTAAAAAGAGGATATTGAATGAATGTGAACTCAACTCTAAATTTATTTAACTCCTTGTAAACAATACGAAGTGAGCCTGAGTTTTATCCAAGGAGTTCTTTAAATTAAATACAGAATCTAATTCCCTATTCAATTTATCAGATAACCTTACAAGAATATGGTTTGAGACGATGGTTGCTCCACAATCCTGCACATTTGTCAATGTATTACATGTACATTATTCAAAGACTGTAAGATCAAAAGTGTAAAAGTGAGACAAAAAACTTAATTTACCCACAAGCGAAACCCCAGATACACAACTTAACATGCTGATCAACATTCCTGTACATTTTGTTGACTCTATCTTAAGCACTTGCACATGTGACACAACATGTGAACGGCCGGACGCACGGACGGACGGAGTTAATCTTAATTGCCCTCTCGCTAAAGTGGAGGCGCAAAATTGATTTTAAGAACCAAATACTTTGACCAAAGTAACTAAAATTAGGAGACCATCTGTGGTATGTTTCTATGAAACATGAAATACATTGGTCATTGAATAAAGGCTATAAATTACAACCAAAAGTGTAGCAAGCATTATTTAATATTATAAATGGAGATCATTAAATATTAAAGCAAGGTGGCATTTTAGATCCTGTGCAATACACATCCTCTCTATGGTCTCGGTCATTGTGTGAGGTGGTAGAAATCATTTTCAATACATTTTAAGCGTGCAATATTGATTTTGCGGCCCATGCATAACGGGAGATAGTTAAAAAAAAACTAAGCTATAAACATAATTATTATTCTTTATTATTGCACTTCCTCTGACTAGTCTTTATAACTGTGTGAAATTTTCATAAGATATTATTGGTAGTTTAGAAATTAAATTCTGGAAAAACATTATTAAAATAATTTAAATATCACATAACTTAGCAAGGTAGAAATAAGGCATTTGTAAATTGCAGTTCTTGTTTCTAATCGCCATCATTGTGTGAAGTTTAAATCACAATCCTTCAACACTGTTTAAGTTATTCTCCGGACAAGTATTATTAAATGTTATAAAAGGAGATAATTAAAAAGTACGTATTGTATAGTTATAGTTCTTTGACATTGCACTTCCTTTTACTAATCTCTACAATATATAAAGGTTCAACGAGACATCATTGATAGTTTAGCAGTAAAACGCCGGACACGCATTATTTAGGACACGCATTTTTTAACATTTTCAAGTATCAAAAAATGGAGATAATTCAAAAATTAAAAAATGTGTGTAGAATCATAGTCTTTGACACTGCACTAGTTTTTACAACTGTGTATATCTTCCATTAGATATTTCTGATAGTATTTTTAACTCATTAAAACAGTATAATGGGAATTCAAAAGTAAGTTATGTCGGGTTATGGTTCTTTAAAACTGCACTTCCTCTTCCTAGCCAGTACAGTTGTATGTAGTCTCAATAAGAAACCAGATATGTTTGTAAGCATGTATGCCCCCTATCGGCAGCCAATTAGTCATGTGATTAGGTTATTATACATGACTTCTGACCTAGTGAACAAAAAATAGGGTTATCTACTGGTCATGACTAGTCACAAGGTTATACTTATTGTGACTGCATAGGTTGTGTGCAGCAATTTAAGTTATTACAAATCTTACCAAATAATATATGCATAAATTTTATGAGTCATGTAGGCCTCATTAATGACAGCCAAGTTGTTATATTACATAAGACATTCAAATGTGAATACCAAAAGCATTTTTAGTTTAATATAAAAATATCAAACAAAACAACTTGAGTTGTTGAGTTATTGGTCAGAAACCGTCTTTAAGTACAAGGTCAATATGACACTGACCCCTTGGCCCCAAAATCAATAGGGGTCATATCATGACCAAGACCAATGCACCTACAAAGTATGAGTGCCAGCAGTTATGGGCTTGTCAAGTTATAAACAGGAAACCGTTTTCACCTACAAGGTTAATATGACTTGACCTTTGACTCATTAACATCAAAATCAATAAGGGTCATCTAATTGTCAAGTCAAATGCACCTACGAAGTAAGTTTGAGGGCCAACAGCTCATGGGTTGTCAAGTTAATGATCGTCAACCGTTTTTTCCAACAAAATAAATATGACCTTGACCTTTGACCCCTAAGCCCCAAAATCATTAGGGGGTCACCTACAGGTCATTAGCAATCATCATACCAAGTTTAAAGTTCCTAAACCTAAACGTTTTTAAGTTATAGGCATAAAGGTTATTTAGTTATTGATCGGAAACCGTTTTTATCTTCAAGGTCAATGTGATCTTGACCTTTGACCCCTAACCCCAAAATCAATAGGGTCATTTCCTGGTTATAATCAATCATCATACGAAGTTTGAAGTTCCTAGACCTTAGCGTTCTTTAGTTATTGATCGGAAACCTTTTCTACTTACAAGGACAATGTGGTCTTGACCTTTGACCCCTTAACGGCAAAATCAATAGGGGTATTCTACTGGTCATGACCAATCATTATACCAAGTTTGAAGTTCCTAGGCCTAAGGGTTCTTTAGTTATCACTCAGAAACCATTGGTCTACGGACCGACGGACCAACGGACCGACAGACAAAAGCAAAGCAATATACCCCCTCTTCTTTGAAGTTTGGGCATAATTATTTATCGTTTAAAAGTTATACTCAAAGCAAGCATTTTCAACTCGTTAAATATTACAAACGGAGATAATTCAAGAGAAAGTACTGTAGAGTTATTGTTCTTTGACACTGCACTCAGTACAACTGTAAGTAGTTTAAGCTACATATCATTGATTGTTTAGAAGTTATTCTCTGGAAAAGCATTATCTAACATTTTAAGCATCATTAAGGGAAATAATTGAACAACTAAGAGTTTAAATTAAGAATTATCATTTTTTCACATTGTACTTCCTTTTATAGTCTCTAGAACTCTGTATAATTTGAATTAAGATATCATTGATAGAAGTCAATACTCTGGACAATTATTTTACTTACGATGGAGATAATTCAAATAATAAGCAATGTATAGGTATGATTATTCGAAAATGCACTTCCTCTCTATGGTCTTCATCACTGTATGTAGTTTAAATGAAATTCCTTCAATTCTTTCCAAGTAAATCAACGGACAAGAATGTGAGGGAAGGACGAAAACGGTGCTACTATATCTTTCCTGAGTCGGGGAAGCAGCAAATGCACAAAACGTTGCAATGTGCTATACTAACTCAAAATGTTTACCTGTTATAGTAATGGTTAGTGTTGTAGTAGTGGACATGGCTGATGGAGTTGTGCCGCTGTCAGTGACAACAATTTCTAGTAAATAGTTATCTGTAGTTTCCCTGTCAAACACTACTGTTGTAGTAATTTCTCCGCTAGTCGAAATCAAGAATTCGCCTCCTAATAAAATGAATGTAACACATAATGTGTTGTTTGTTTTTGAATACTGAATTGCATAAACAATAAATCACATTTTTTGTGTCATAAATATCAAGATATTTTCTTTCGGTGTCACAAAATATGTTGTTTTTTTCTCCGTTAAAAATCTTACAAACAAACACATACACTAAATCAGTTAGAAAACACATTGGTACAAAATTTGAAGGGCATAATTTTAACTGAAATGTTATGCATTAACACATCTTTTTGAAATAAACTAATCTTTCCAATTTTCATGTAATTTTGTCGTTTTTATTGGTTCCGAGAAATCTCTTTTCCAGATTTCCATTAGATCCAGTATGTGACTTATTAGCTTGTTTAAATGAAAATGAAATAATATATCTGAAGAAACTAGAAATGTGTTATCATGCCACGGATGCCCCCGCATGCAGCCAAAATTTCAGATGTTATAATATTTAGTTCCAAATTTGTTTGCACAAATTATTTTTTTTATTTTACGTTCAAAGCCCTTAAAACTTTTCAATTTTTAAACCATTTTCATACAATGTTCAAGGCACTGAAATTATTCAGTCTTAACCTTTTGAAAATAGCATATTGCATATTTGTAGCCAAAATAATGGCTACATACATTTCCACAAAAGTATGTGTTTCAAAATTTTTCCAACATTCAGGAAAGATAAGTTCAAAATCATTGAACCACAACCAAATTCAAACTTAAACTGCTTATTCCTAAGATGTATCTATATTATTTTCAAAGTGAAAGGGACATAACTCTGCCAAAAAATCATCAAACCATGACCAAATTCCAACTTGACCTGCCCATTCCTTTGAGTTGAGTATGTAACACTGTTGGGTAGATAATGAACAGAAACTGTAAATTTCATATTATTTTCAAAGTGAAAGGGGCATTACTCTGCCAAAAATCATTGAACCATGACCAAATTTGGACTTGACCTGCACATTCCGTTGACGTATCCATATGTCAAGTTTGAGTTGAATGTGTTATACCGTTGGGGAGATAATAAACAGAAACTGAAAATTTCATATTATTTTCAAAGTAAAAGGGGCATAACTTTGCCAAAAATCATCGAACCATGACCAAATTCGAACTTGACCTGTATTTTCTCATGACATATTCATATGTTAAGTTTGAGTTGAATGTGTTATACCGTTGGGGAGATAATGAACGGAAACTGAAAATTTCATATTTTTTTGTAAAGTAAAAGGGGCATAACTCTGCCAAAAATCATCGAACCATGACCAAATTCGAACTTGTCCTGTATTTTCGCATGACATATTCATATGTTAAGTTTGAGTTAAATGTGTTGTACCGTTGGGGAGATAATGAACGGAAACTGAAAATTTCATATCATTTTAAAGTAGAAGGGGCATAACTCTGCCAAAAATCATCGAACCATGACCAAATTCGAACTTGACCTGTATTTCCTCATGACATATTCATATGTTAAGTTTGAGTTGAATGTGTTGTACCGTTGGGGAGATAATGAACGGAAACTGAAAATTTCATATTATTTTAAAGTAAAAGGGGCATAACTCTGCCAAAAATCATCGAACCATGACCAAATTCGAACTTGACCTGTATTTTATCATGACATATCCATATGTAAAATTTGAGTTGAATGTGTGCAACCGTTACTAAGATAATGAACGGAAACTGATGATGACGGAATGACAGAATGACGAAAGGACGGAATGACGGAAGGACGGAACAGGGTAACACTAAATGCCCCGGCCATTACATGGCGGGGGCATAAAAATAGCAAATACATGTACATTAAAAGCATTGCTTTTTTAAATCAGTTACAAGTTTATAATATTGTATATGACTATATATAATACATTACATTACAGATAAGAATAATAAACTGATCGAACCTGCATTTCCACTTGTAATAACATATGATGAAATAACATTGTTTGGTGAATTTGAGTCAGCGTCGGTACATGTTAATTGTATAACGGTCACACCGATGGCAGAGTTTTCAGCAATACTTGAACTATAAAGCGAACTGGAGCAGGATGGTTCATAGTCATTAACATCTGATAACGAAACAGTAAGTGTATATATGGAGGTTAATGCACCTGGAAATAGAAAATAAAAAGAAACCGTTAAACATGTATAAATATTACTATTATTTCCAACATATTCAATAATTTAAAAAAGGCCCAGTTCATGCCTTAGAAATGCTGTTTCTTTTTTTATTCGCAATAACCTTCTCTTTTTTTTCTTGTCACAGTTTCCAAAATTAATCATTTTCCACATAGATCTGTAGCTTTCTTTACTCTGTTACGATGGGTATAATGATAGTGACTGTGTACTTTGTAAGGAAGTAAAATACTACTTTCATTACATTTTGCTACCATTACAACAAACTACTGCACATTCAGCGCAACTTTCGTTTGTTGATCAACATCTTTAAAATATGGATATCAAAGGCATGGTGTGCCTTTAATAAAAAATTCGTTTACTTTGTGTTATTTTATATTAATTGACAATAAAAGACAGGATTTAGTAAGTACACACGAATCTGTTATTTAAAATAATTTATTGTGTTGAAATATAATGACTCTTTGTGCTTGTATTTACACTAGTTGGTTATTAAACGGGTGATTTACTTCCGAAACTAAAAACACTTCGTATCTAAGACAGAATTAAATAAGGATGAATTTGTCTTCTGTATTAATCAATTTACAAAAATAACTATTTAAGTTAAAACATATACCTGGAGATTGTCCACTGTCAACAGCATGTATCACAACAGTGTATGTGTTTGTTCCTTCCATATCTAGTGCTCCGCTGACAGTAACTACACCGCTTGATGGATTAATTGCGAATTTTCCATTTGCACCAGAAACAATTGAATATCTAATCACACCATCCAAACCATCGTCAGCGTCCGTTGCGTCTATATCAACTACAGTTAATCCTGTTGCAGAATTTTCAGCAATAGTCTGTGTTGAAGCTGATGATGACAAAACAGGTGTGTGCTCGTTATACCCAGTTATTTCAATTTCGACTGTCGCAGTACCAAAAAGAGACCCCGAGTCTGTAGCCCTTATAATTAAGCTATAAGTCTTAGTTGTTTCGTAATCTAGATTGGTGCTGTCAACAATAGTAATATCAGCGTTTCCAGTGGTTCCAGAAATGCCAAAAATGTTGTCGCCGTTACCACTGTCAATGTTGTAAGTAAATGAAGAATCATCAGCATCTACAACAGTTACTGTCAAGACAGTAAAACCATTTGCTTCATTTTCTGACAGTGATACCGCATAAACACCGGGATCAAATTCTGGTGTTCCGTCATTGAAGTTCGTAACAGTAATGGTAACAGTTGCTGAAGCGCTATTTTCACTAGGATTTGTTCCATCATCTGTTGCAACAACTATGACTTCATAAGTATTTGAACCAGATTCATAGTCAACATTGGCTTTCAGAATAACTTCTCCTGTGTTTGGGTCAATGTCAAAGTTTGGCATCGTAGGGTTTAATGAAAATGAGATGGAATCAGATGTATCAGCATCTGAAGCTGCAACTTGAAAGACCGTGGTTCCAACAACTTCATTTTCCGCCAGATTAGTAGAATATGGTGTACCAGTGAAAACCGGGCTATTATCATTTACATTTGTCACCGCCACATTAACTGTTGCTGTGACGGTTAAAGACGGAGTACCGCCATCCGAAACTTCTATCAGGATTGTATGTTGTAAGGTTGTTTCATAGTCTAATGCATTAGCAGCTCTTACAGCACCGGATGTGTCAACAGTGAATAACGTAGTACCAGTTGCTCCATTGACGGTAGTTAATGTATACGTTAAAATTGCATTTGTCGTTGCATCGGCATCATTACAATTAAGCGTTAATAACGTTGTCGGTAAGGTTGTTGCTTCCTCGTCAATTGAAACCGAATTAACCAAAGGTGAACAAGTTGGGGCATTGTCGTTCTTGTCAAGTATAGTAAATATCACATTGGCAGATCCTGTTCTCGGAGAAACAGCGTTGCTGTCGACAGCATTTATAACCAGAGTGTATGGATTGGATGAAGCAGTCTCAAAATCAAGTTCATCTGTTAATATTAACTCACCGGACGACCCATCAATTGTGAACTTCGAGTCGGTGTCACCGCTTGCAATGCTATAAACAATCTTTCCTGAAAATTACAAATTAGACAAATATAATGATATATATTTACATATTTACTATAAGACTTTTTATAACGTTAGCATAATTGACTGAAAATACATTCCCATTTCTCTCATTTCTCTTTATAGTTTAGTTTAATACAAGTTAAATATCAAACAATTTTTTTTCTTAAAATCGCAGTTCGATGTTGTTGCCGCAACAAATGACATTTTTGTTATTTTGGATATTATATTATTCAATTTATAAAAGGTCAGAAGCTTTACTGAGATAAAATATTATCATATCCTTACCGTTTGAAAAATAAAAAAGTCAAAGAAATGAGCCGCGTCATGACAAAACCAACATAATGGGTTTGCGACCAGCATGGATCCAGACAGTCTGATCAGGATCCATGCTGTTCGCTATCAGTTTCTCTACTTGTTATAGAGTTTGTAAGCGAACAGCCTGGATCCTGATTAGATTGCGTGGATGTGCAGGCTGGTCTGGATCCATGCTGGTCGCAAACCCGTTATGTTTGTTTTCTCATGGCGCGGCTCAAATCATGAACTTCGGCTTTCATTCTCATTATGCCATTTTTTTAAGAAAAAGTAATAACATCAATGAATGAATGACAAATGTCCAGTGCACTGTTTGGCATTTGATTATAACTTTTACTGTTTTAGCTGTAGTTCTGGTGTTTGTACGAGACAAAATGTCTAAATGCGCTTAAACATGTTTAGTTTTTTTTCAAAAAACATCCATTAATTGCAGACTTATGAAATATTACCTTTACTGCTTAATAGTAATGTTCATCTTTGAACTAAAGAATTAATCTCACTCACCTACCACACATGGGTTTCAAGCTCCAAATAATTATGCTAGGTAATTATTAAATATGTTAGTGAATGATCAAGATGTTGACTGGAAATAACTATCGATGATATCAAATCATGACTTTTGGCATCCAAATGTAACATTGACCTTTTAAACTGCCAAATTTTCTTGTTTTCCAATCCATATATATTGTGATGTAAAATTGATAAATAAGAATATGTTTAAACTAAACTGCCGACTTGGTTTTTGTGCACTACGTTTTTTGTCTCTATAAACCGCTTAATTGTGAAAAGTTATTTCATTTCAAATCTATCCAGGAATGACATAATCGTTGACCGGAAATAATTATTCATGCAATTTTAAATGATATATGTGACCTCGAGCTGTAAATATGGTTCTTGCATGTCATTTATTGTCTGAATGTACAATAACTTTATGCATCGTTATGTCTAAATCTCACAAACATTTTATTTCAAAATGCATCCCGTAATGAGAAACTTACTGACAAGAAACAGTCATATTTCCACAATTATATAATAACTTTGATATCCAAGTTTTGTTTTTACCTTTACAATGCTGGCCTAGGCTGGATGTTTTGATATAAATTCCTATGCCATCCTAAAGATCAACTTAAGGACTAAAATACCTTTCCAATGAACATGTTTATCTTTTGTAAAAGACTATACATTGTATATTATATCTAAATCAAACTTCCTTACAAAAGTTAGGAAATAAAAAGCACGCACTTTAGACCGTAATATGGTAATGGTCACCTGTATTGCTACTCCGATATTGAAGGAGTTATAACTTAGGAATTACCAGTTCGGATATTTTCCCAGAGACACAAAAATATCTAACTTCAAACTTAAGACATTCTGTAAAACGCAAACTTTGGTTTTGCACATGAAACGATCTCTCAATATTGCGCACATTCACTCCAAGTTACAAATGTATTTAAAAATAAGTTCAAGAATGACAAAACTGTTGACCGGAACAGCCATGAATGTACTTTCACAAACAATTCCCTAACAAGATAAATGTGGTCTTGATTTTTAAGCTACAAATCTTGATCTTGCATGTGACATATACATGTAGTCACATCTTTGCACGCGACCTGTCGCAATGCTGTCCAACAAATTCGTGACAATTCATTTTAAAATCCACCGAGCAACGACAGATGTGTATTTAAACATTTGATCCTGACCTTTTATCTTCAAACACGGGTTATTGCATGCGAAAAGGCAGGTTACTATTCTACACATTCATGCAAAATAAGAATTAAAATCCATCTATAAATGACAAACCTATATATCGGACAAAAATGGTCCGATGGATAGAAAGACGGATGCCCAAATATTTCAATATCTGTATACAACCCTTCGCGTGTATGAAAGGAAGTTCTAATATATTTTACCATTAACTCCAATATCAGCATCTGTTGCTGCTACAGTAATTACAGTTGTTCCTACGGCAATATCTTCATCTTGGTTAGCGTTGTATGTTCCGGACCCGAATACAGGGTCATTATCATTGGCATCTGAATAATCAAGAATGACATAAGCACGTCAGTACAAACATAGGTTGATGTGACCTGACAATACTTATCAGAAAAGGTGAATGTGTACAAGCATACTTTTCCCTTGCATTTCATGTATTATTTGCTATATAAATATATGTTTTAGCCTATCCGTATATTGAATTTAATTAACAGTGTTTTTCATTATTCGGAAACATCGTTTGCTTTACTTTCGTACGGAAAATAATAAAGTGACATGCTAACCGCATTAAGTATTGAATGATAACGTTAAACTATTATTGTAATACGATGCATTTTAATTAAGTACTTATTATTGCTCATACACAATATAATGTACCTTCTACTGTGATTGTTAACGTTACTGTAGTCGTCAAAGCTGGCGTTCCATCATCATCCACTTCAATAACGAGTTGGTAGTTATCTAGTGTCTCTCTATCTAGTGTCCCCATTAAGTTTACCTGACCACTTCCGAGAATAGCGAACATGGTTCCTATTTTATGAAAGATATTGCCATTACATATATAATAACATTCAGTTTTCTTCTTAATTAATAATGATCACACTTTCTTGATTTAACTACCTTTCTGTATAGATTTTTATAGAAGAATCTGTAAGTATGCTTTTTAATAAATTGTCTAAGTATAAACTAATACTTAAAAGAAATTTTAACTCCCTATATATACGCTGAATAAAGTAAGAAGTAAATATCAAAGATACTTTACCTGTATTACCACTTGTTATTGTGAATGTACTTATAACATTGTTCGGAGACTCAGCGTCTGAATCCGTGCATGTAATTTGAGAAACAGACGTCATCAGTGTGGCATCTTCACCTACTGTTGCATGGTAAACAGATTGACTACAACTTGGCGTTATGTCATTGACGTCCGTCACAGAAACAGTGAGGGAATATGTTGCACTTAATGCACCTGCAAAACAAATTTAAAAGTCAATATCGAAATAGTGTTCAAGTCCTTTGTACAACTAGTATATAAACGAAATTATAATCATAGCTATCTCCTGTTACATCATTTTGTGACTTTGTATGTCAGTGTCATTTCATATATTAGAAAAATGCATAAAAAAGCTAAAAGTATCTTTAAAAGTATAATAGAAGATAAGACAAATAATTAATATCACTAATTTATGACTGCGATACCTTTAGCATTACAAAATCAAAAATTACTTGGATTTGTTCCTTTATCTGTAGCAAGAATCGTCAGTTCAAAAACATTTTGCGATTCTCTGTCCAGAGTGCCACTGGTTGAGATTACACCAGACGTAGGATCAACTGTGAACAATGCAGCACCGCTATTTGTGACACTGGAAATGCTGTATATGATTTCTCCATCTACACCATGGTCGGTGTCCGTAGCATTTACTACGTCAACGGACGTTCCACTAGCTGATTCTTCTGTGACACTAACTGTATTTGAAATTGCCGTAAGAGTTGGTGTAGCCTCATTTACGTTTGTAATCTCTATCGCTATTGAAGCTGTACCTGTATTACTAGCAGTGTCCACAGCTTGAACAACTAAAATGTAATTACGTGCCCCTACATCATAATCTAGATTTGTCACGTCATTTATAACTACTTCACCGTTAGCGTCTACACGGAAAATATTGTCACTATTACCACTTGCAAATGATAAAGTCAGTGATGTGTCAGCACTGTCAATATCTGTGGCAGTAACTGTAGTCACTGTGGTTTCAACTACAGCTGTTTCAGATACAGACCCGCTATAAACACCAGGATTAAAAGTTGGCGTTCCATCGTTTGCGTCTGTAATTGTAATTGTTACAGTTTCAGTCGTACTCTGTACCACTGGGCTACCGTTATCAGTTGCTACGACAGTAAGCGTTATAGTTACTGATGGTGCCAGAGCATCATAATCAATTTCTGCAATGGTGTAAATGTCTCCGGAAGATGAATCAATTTCAAAATACATGTTTGATGGATTGATAGCGTAAGACACTGTATTGGTATTATCAGCATCAGTGGCTGCAATAGAGTAAACAGAATTTCCCACTGGTGTGGTTTCTGCAACGTTTGTGGAATATGGAGTACCTTGAAAGACAGGAGCAGCTTCGTTCACATCGGTTATGCCCAGTTTCACTGTTGTCGTGAATGACAAAGAAGGTGTACCTCCATCAGCTGCCTGTAGTAACAAAGTATACGAGGCAGTCGTTTCGTAGTCGAGTGCTGTGCCTGCTGCTGTTGTAATAACTCCAGAGGCATCTATTGCAAAAAGGGTGTTAGAGGTGTCACCATTTACTGACACCATTGAATAAGATATATCACCATTAACACCGTCATCAGCATCTGAACATGTTAATGAAGCTATTGTGGTTGACCCAGCAATGTTTTCTCCATACTGAAAGGATTGTAGCACGGGTGAACATAAAGGTGAATTATCGTTTACATCTGTTATTGTTAGAGAAACAGTGGTTGTACTGGTAAGTGGAGCTGTTCCATCATTATCTCTACCTTCAATGACTAAAACATACGGGTTTGCGGCTGCTGTTTCAAAGTCAAGAGCTACAATCGTTTTTATATCCCCGCTGGCACTATCTAAATCAAATGCGCTGTCGACGTTCCCAAGTGTTAAAACATAGGTAATTGTTCCTGAAATATGTGTAGAATGAATTAAAATATGATTGTCATATGTAACTGATTCATACACAATTTAAAATAGAGAAAATAAGAATTTCTAGAGAATAAAAAAAATCAGCAAAGTTGAAATTGTGGCAGAATAGGTTTTGTTTTTATTTTTAATCTTCATAATTATTAAACATAGTTAAATGTACCAAACTGTTCCAAAATGGAGTTACAGTGAAAATTCAACTTGTATTTCTTTTGCGTATGACTTTTAAGAAAGTATTGCGTATGACTTTTAAGAAAGTATTCTAAGAATTTCCAGGAATTTTGATTGGAGATAATATATTTGTTTTACTAAAAAGCGGCGCATGATCAAGTAGGTTTATTCTTTAACTACAAGACAAGAATTTATGTGTCGAATAAAAGCTTTGAGTGTAGAACCACTGTTAGAATTATTACGATGAAAATACATATACATTCTCAATTTGATACGAAGAAACCGTACATATTTTGAGAAAAAATAATATTGATGAAAACACTTCCGCATAGAATAAAATAAGCAATTGTATTGGTTCAATTTTTACCTGAATCTTCACTATCTGTATCAGTTGCAGCAACTGTTCCCACTACTGTACCAACAATTACATCTTCCGATGATGTAAAGTGATAAGGATCAAGACCAAATGTTGGCGCATTATCATTTATATCTAAAATGCAAAATGTATCAAACATGAACAAAATCAATAACGCATTCATTAAAGCCACATTATGCCTCAGAAATCAATGATTTTATCATTGTTCACAAATGTCAAATGTGTGTTTAATAGTGGTTTTAGAGCATGTTAGATGTTTAACAACTAAACAAGGTACCACGTAACATAATACATAGGATGCAGAATGTAAAAAAAAAGTAAAAGTGGTATTTGATTTCCGTACAAAAAACAAAATCAATTTAATTGCACAAATTGCAAAAGAAGCAAAAGAGTAAAAATATGGTGCGACATATGGCAAATGAGTAACTCTTTGGAAACTGTGAACAAATACTAAAAAAAAAAAGTTTAAGAGATAAATGTGCCTTTAAGCGTTAACAAAGAACATTGCTCTCATATTTCATATAGTAAAACAAATGTTGACAAACTTGTACATGCTTACCTGTGACAGTTACTTGAAGCGTTGTTGTTGTTGTGAGTGGAGAAGTTCCACTATCAATTGCTTCTATAACAATAGAATAACTGGCTACTAATTCCCTGTTAAGAGCGTTTACAGTGGTCACTTCACCAGAGGCAGACACGGCAAAATCACCGTCTGAAAAAAGTTAATTATTTAATTCAAGTTTTAATATGTAGTTGGTTGAGTTGGTTTCTGAAAATTTAGTTTGAATAAAACCTTCTTTACAATGGGAGAAATAAAACAAGAGCAGAAATGCCGTAAGTAGCTAATGAGTCTTTGAAGTTTTTCATTTTCTTTTATTTTAAATAAAATTGTATATACTTGTGTTTCCTGACTGAATGTTGTACGTCGCAACATCCATATTTGGAGACGTCGCATCATTGTCCGAGCATGTGAGTTGAAAAACAGATGTTCCAGTGGCGACATTTTCTGCAATACTAGCACCATATAAAGAACTTGTACATATTGGTGTTACGTCGTTAACATCGTTTACTTGAACTGTCAATGTATAATCTGCTGTTCTAGCGCCTGAAACATATTTTATGTTTACGGAAATAATTTTACAACTCAAGCTAATGTTTTGTTTTATACAATATATCATATAAGCAAGGTTACCAAACATATCAGAACTGAAAATGCTGCAGACTTCAAGTAATCAAACTTGTTCATAGATGATAGCAGGGAATAAAATCTACCGCCCAAACTCCTACGCTACCTTAAAACATTCATTATTTCCATTAAACGAATGCCAAATGATCAAAGTGAAGTTATATCCATATTTATCCAAAACATAATGAAAGTATACTACCATAAAGATAATGATAAAAGTTACATTGAAAATATCAAGTTCGTCATATTTCATAGTCTTATAATCCAAATGAGTTGTTAAAGCATGATGTATAAAGTGGCAGTAAAAACATGTTTGGTTAAGATTAATACGTACTTGGATTTGTTCCACCATCGGTAGCTTTTATTGTAAGGGTATATGTTTGAGTGGTTTCTCTATCAAGTGCACCTACTAGAGTCACGTCTCCAGTAGACGGATTAACGGCAAATAGACCGTCAGTATTTCCTGACGTAATTGAATACGTGACATCCCCGTCATGACCATGATCTGCATCAGTAGCCGCAACAGTGACTACTGCTGTATCCGACACCGTGTCTTCCGTTAGTGTTGATGTGGAACTTGTGGTTGCTCCATAGCTTGGCGCGTTATCATTATAGTTTGTTACAGCAACCGCAACAGTTGTTGTACCTGTGTTTGTTCCATCATCAGCAGTTACCACTAATGTGTAGGCTTTTACTGAGGAATCATAATCAAGGTTAGCAATATTGTCTACTACAATAACCCCCGACGTCTCGACTCTGAAAACAGCATCAGCATTTCCCGATGCGATAGTATATGTTAATGGAGAACTATCTGAATCCGTTGCAGTGACAGTAGTTACAGTAGTTCCAACATTACTATTTTCTGGCAATGTTGAAGTATAAACAGCGGGGTTAAAAACAGGTACACCATCATTTGCATCTGTCACAGTTATAGTAACAGTAGCCGTTGCTATTTTTGGTGTGGCACCATCATCAGCTGCAAGTACTGTTACTTCATAAGTTGGTGTTGTTTCATAATCTACTGTGTCGATCAACGAAAGTACCCCTGTTATTGGGTTAATGTCAAAAACAGTATGAGCCGGGCTAAGCGAAAATGTTAAAGTATTTGCCGTATCTAAATCTGTCGCAGCGACTTGAAAGACAGAATCACCGATGCTCGCTGTTTCAGCGACAGTTTGTGAATATGGCAACCCTGTAAAACTTGGCGTGTTCTCATTAAAATCAGTTACAATTATATTCACAGTTGCTGTTCCTGTCAATGCGAGAGTACCACCATCGATTGCATGAATAATTACTATTAAATGTTGATCACTTTCAAAGTCGAGAATTGATGCTGTTGCTAAATCAAATGCTCCTGTAGAACTGTCAATCTGAAATGGCGTTGCCGTAGCAACAGCATCTACCGTTGAAATAACGTAAGAGATATCATCGTTTACTCCGGAATCTGTGTCAGCGCATGAAATTGTTCCAATATTTACTGAACTAGCTGTATTCTCTTGCACTTCGAACGTCTGTACTGCCGGTGTACACGTTGGTGCATTATCGTTGACGTCATTAACGTTGATAGTTAAGGTGGCCGAACCCGTCCTTACAGTCGCTAACTTATCAATTGCATGAATTGTAAGAATATATTGTGGTGTGGTTTCAAAGTCAAGCACACCTACCAATTTAACATCACCCGTGTTACTATCAACAGCCAAATTTGAATCTACGTTTCCACTGAAAATACTGTAGGTGAATGAGCCTGAAAAATATGTTTTACGTCAACATAAAACAATTTAATGGCAAATCATATCTGAAAATTGCATATAAACTTATAAAACTAAACATTTAATCATTTTTTTAAATAAAAAGTCAATCCTAAAACAATACAAAACAAATACAAAACAATATATGAGCCGCGTCATGACAAAACCAACATGGTGCGTTTGCGACAAACATAGATCCAGACCAGCCTGCGCATCCGCGCAGTCTGATCAGGATCCATGCTGTTCGCTATTAGTTTCTCAACTTGTAGTAGGGTTGGTAAGCGAACACAAGGATCCTGATCAGACTGCGTGGATGCGCAGGCTGGTCTGGATCCATGCTGGTCGCAAACGCACTATGTTGGTTTTGTCATGGCGCGGCTCATGTATGTGTGATTTTCTTTATTGTGTTGGCATATTTACCGGCATTTCCACTGTCTTGATCAGTTGCAATCACAGTGGTAACTATTGTACCTACATTATCATCCTCGTCTATACTAACTGTGGTATCCGCAGTTGAAAACACTGGATCATTGTCATTGACATCTTGATAAAGAAAACATGACATTTTACAATTAATTATGTTTATTAAATATTACATATTATATATAACGATTAAAAGATATATTTGATATTAAAAGTGCAGTTCATATTTATTTTTTATACAAAGCCAAACTTGTTTTACTTGACACTTGTCATATTTCAATTGCATCACTCATATAATCTTGTTCGTATTTAAACTGTCCTGTCCTATAACCGCCAATGTTACTTTAACTAGGATTTCAAAAATAATGTACCGGTCAAGGTAATAGTTAAGGTCGTAGTTGTTGACAAACTGGGAGTGCCTCCATCTGCAGCTTCGACAAGTATCTGGTATGTAGGCGTGACTTCCCTGTCAATCGTTGGTGTAGTTGCTACTAATGTTACCACTCCAGTTGTTCCATCAATAACGAAATTACCATCTTAAATGTAAATTATCTATTATGTACCATTTTCTTGTAAATAAACCATTGGTCGGGGTTAAAACTATATCATGGACACTGGTCATTTCGCTAAGTAAAAAGTTAAACCAATATTTATCTAATGTCAAGATGGAAATGCAAACCTGTAAGGGTGGTGCTGTTCTGTAGAAAGCCTTAAGTGTAATTGTTCTTCAACATTTATTGATTGTCTATGATAGGAAAATAATACACAAGGTTAAAACTGTAGATACGTGCCAACGTTTTCCATTAAGCTGATTGATAAAACAGTTCATTTTCCGCAATGTTCCTTAAGTTTAAAATGGATAATTCTCTTTATTTGTGTTAACATAAAACATTTAAAAATATCAATATTAATGTAATTTTATTTTGAATAATATATTTAATGCAAAAGTATACTCTGTCGTGACATTTTACTAAAACAGCCTATAAGCACACTTGTCAAATACTTCGCTGGACAATTTCAGGTAAATTGCTTCAATAAATTGCAATCAAAACACTTCATAAACAAAACAGAACAGGTAAAACAAATACTTACCGTCTCCGCCAACAATGGAATACGTAACAACATTATTTGGGGAATCAGCATCATTATCTGTGCAGGCTATTGTTGAAACACTTGTGCTAGCAGCAGCATCTTCAGCTATACTTGCGCTATATAAAGATAGCGAACATTCTGGCGTGTTGTCATTTACGTCATCAATTGTCAGTGTTAAAGAAAACGTCCCAGTTAAAGGCCCTATAGTATAGAGATGAAAAAGGTTAAGATGATGATGAAAACAAATAGCAAATATATGTAATAAAGAATTTATATCGAATCTTGTTTAACAATAAATTTAAGAACTTCGTCTGACTTGAAATGATGACGTACTAATCAGCGTAATCTTACAATATGCTTATAACGTGTATGTAAAATAAATACCTGGTGAAGAACCGGCGTCTATTGCTTGCATTGTAAATGACAGCGGGTTTGTTAATGATTCTCGGTCTATATCACCAGCAACTGTTACTATGCCAGTTGTAGGATCGATTGCCAGTATGCCTTCAAACCCAGTTGGTACGGTGGAAATAGAATAAGTTAAACTACCATCAACTCCGTCATCAGCATCTGTAGCATCTACGTCAATAACAGTATCACCTGTGGCCGCATTTTCATTTAAGTTTACAACAGCACTTGCTGGTGCAAATATTGGATTATTTTCGTTGTATCCAGTTATTTCAACGTGAACTGTTGTAGAGCCCGTATTTGCTGCTGCATCAACAGCATGGACAACAAGAGTATAACTTTTCGTACTTTCATAGTCCTGTACATTGTTTTGTATTGTAATGACTCCGCTGGAATCAATTTGGAATATTGAGAAAGTATTGACTAAACTGTATGTCACACTTGAATCATCTGCATCTGTAGCAGCTACTGTTGTAACAGTTACACCAATGTTATCATTCTCTGATATACTAGCAGCATAAATAGCAGGACTGAAAATTGGAGTCACATCATTACTATCAAGTACTGTAACAGCAATAGTCACCGTTGTAGATAAGACACTAGGGCTTGTTCCATCGTCAGTAGCAACAGCAACAAGATCAAAAGGATTTGTTCCTAATGTATCAAAATCAAGTTTTGACGTTAACAAAATATCTCCGGTGTTAGAATCAATTTCAAAATTTGTATTAGAAGGATCAAATCTGTAGGTCACAGATTGCGATGTGTCACCATCGGTTGCTGCAATGGTAAATACAGAAACAGCAACGGCCGTTGTCTCGGACAAAGAAAAAGAGTAGCTAGCAGAACCAAATACTGGACTGTTTTCATTGTAATCAGTGATATCAACTTTCACAGTAGCTGTCGAAGAAAGAGACGCGGTACCACCGTCAGAAATACGTACCAGAATGCTGTACGATGTTGTTGTTTCAAAGTCAAAATTCTGGCCATTGTCTAATGATATGATCCCAGCCGTACTTACAGCGAACGGTGTAGGGGATACACCCCCATTAACAGAAACAATTGTGTATGACAAGAGATTGTTTGGTGAACTGTCATCGTCGTCGGTGCATGTTAAAGTTGAAATAGTTGTTCCCGCCACAGTATTTTCAGCAAATGATACAGTTTGTAGGGCTGGAGTACACGACGGTGTTTCATCATTAAAATCTGTCACTGTGATAGTCACACCAACTGTGGAACTTCTTGGAGATGTACCTCTGTCATGTGCCACAACATCAAAGGTGTGTGATTGTGCTGTTTCGTAGTCTAAAGTTGCTTTAAGAAATATTTCCCCGGTATCCGCATCAAGGTAGAAATTGGCATTGGTATTCATACTAAAGAAAACTTCACCATCATTTCCGGCATCGGAATCGCTTGCCACAACTTGCAATAATCTTGTGCCAACTGCAAGATTCTCAGCAACCGTGTGGGGATACGAGCCTGCCCCAAAAGTTGGATCGTTTTCGTTGTCTGGAGTTACGGTGACTGTTACAACAGCGGTACTGGACATGGCACCTGCTGCGCCATTACTGTCAGTCGCTTTTACATAGAGAGTATAAGATGTTTCAGTTTCGTAATCAAGTACCACCGCAGTAGTTATTTCACCACTTGATGTGTCAATAGAGAATCGACTGCCAGTGTTACCAGCTATAGAAACAAAATATGGCATTAATATAATAATGTAATAATATCCTAAATTTGATATTGCTAAAGGAAGCTATGCATTCAGAGTGCAAAAGTATATAAAAATTAATGTTCAAAGGTTAGATATTTCTAACAGCACTTTAATTAGCCTTAAGATTAAAATATTCCGGACCACTCTTTTATTTCAGTAACATATGTCATGAATTGAGCATTATCTTGATTAAATTTATTTTATTTTGAGAAACTTTTGTATTTTTTTATATATTTATTATCTGTCTATCATCATGTAATATATATTTATAATGAATAGTAAAACAAGTGTAACCAATATTTGTTAACCTGTGATACTATATGTGATCGTTCCATAGTTGTTAGTTGCCGGATCATCAGCGTCAGATGCTGTCATAGTTGCTACGGTAACACCCGCTGCAGACGTCTCTGGCACATTAGCACTAAATTATAAAGAATATGGCAGTTGTAAACCCTTTTAAAATGAAAGATAACTGTTCTGAATGATCTTAAAACTTTCTAATAGGTATTTCCATAGATGTAACATGTATGTACATGTGTTCTTTAGAGCTTTGCGGTTTAAGATTTAATTTTCAGCGCTGCAATGCTATTCAAAATATTACAAAAACTATCATAAATTTTTCAAGAGTCTACGTTTTTTACTGGCTTAAAAAATGGTTGATTTACCTGTATGAATTCGGACTGAAAACTGGAGCGTTATCGTTTTCATCGGTAACAGCAATTGAAACTGTGGCTGTAACACTGTTTGTTGTATCAGTGGCTTGTACAAGAAGAGAGTAAGATGGGGTTGTCTCCCTGTCCAATGTCCCTGCTAAAAGTATCTGACCAGACAGTTGGTCGAGGGTAAAACCTGTAGGCGGTGTTCCCACCCATGAATATTCCACAGTGTCGCCTTTGTCGGGATCTGGTGCGGAAACCGTTGCTAACAGATTTCCAGGACCTGTGCTCTCAGATTTTGAGACCGTATATGTTGCTAATAAAGAAAAATGTCTTTATTAATGTGTTAGTTTAGTTTTTAAAAAGCTCTATACATGTAAGCGATGTATAAAAAAGTCACCCCTATCGGTTATAAATTAAAACAAAGGGTTACGATTCAAATACATATTTTTGTAGATGGTCACAAGTTAATTTCAGGTTTTGTTTTACGTCGCATGAACATAGTATATGTCATATGGCGGCTAATCAGCTTTATAGGTTGAGGAATACCTCAGATCCCTGTTTATGTATTATTTCAGGTAAGCCACAAGTTCATGCTGCCTTCCAAATACATGACCTCTAACCATTTTTGTTTTGTTTCTGAGACGCTTTAAAAATTGCTATTCTATACACGTTAGCCATGGGATGTCACATACTATTATCTAAACGCGTGTTTTTTTTTGTAAGATAAGGTATACTATATTAAACGGCGATCAATTTGAACACAAGGAAACTTTCATTTTGCAGGGGACAGCAAAGATAAATATCTATGTTAGGCATTACAGCTTCTTAGAATATATTGTACATTCTGAACAATTCTACATTACAATAGAGGTTGCTCTTGTTGATCTACTAAGTTTTATGTAAAACAATAGACCCAAACGGTGCGATATAATATAACGTTTGTATATAAATGCTATGCCATGGTGTTAGCTATCAATCTTTACTCTTTACCGAGCGATTTCCAATAGGAATTTGAGCACATTGTGATGTTATGGGTAGATGCTGTTAAAAGAAGATCGAAAAGCGCATTCCATACCAAAAGTTCAATTCATCTTTTAGAATATCCCAGGTTAATACAAACATTACAAACTGGTGTATATCAAGATCTTACTCTGGCTAAAGGCAGGTGGATCTTCATTTACAGCTGTTACTAGCACACTCCCGGTTACTGTTAACACATTAGTTCCATCAGAAACATCTATTTCGAAATCAAACTGTGGGTCTACTAGAGTGTCGTAGTCAACTGTGGCTTTCAACTGCATAGATGAATTTACATGATTATGAAAACGATTATGAGTAAACAAGTCTAATAGTATAAAGAAAATTAAAGTTTAATGTACTTAAATGACAAAGCTTTATATTGCCGACAAAATTAAAGAAATATAAGAGTTACATTTAAGATTTCATCAACATATTTGCAAATATTTCAAATTTATTTAATCATTCCTTAGACAACTCTATATTGGAAATTATTTTAGCATGTGCTTTGGGAATATAAATAGAAATAATAGAATTCAATTATCAAACAAAATATGAGTCTTCAGCAAACAAAAATTGCACATACCTTTAAATCAGCTCCGGTCATTTCAAAGTAGGTAGTGTCACCTGTGGTCATAGTATACGTCAAGGAATCTCCGTCGGCGTCGGTACAAACAAGACTAAATAAAGTGTCGCCAATTGTACCTTCTTCAGCTTTTGTTACACTGAAAGCAAGATCTGACGTACATGTAGGACTATTATCATTCACACCGGTAACCATTATATTAACCGTGGCTGTTGCAGAGTTATCCGCTGATTCTTCGATTGCCTGAATAACTAAAGAATAACTTGATGTCGTATCAGCATTAAGTACACCAGCTACTGAAATTTTTCCAGTGCTTGGGTTAATATTAAACTTCCTGTCAGTGTTTCCGCTGAGGATAGAATACGTCAAACGTCCGTATGTGCTAGATGAAGAGTCAGGGTCGGTTGCAGCATGCGTTGCCACAGAAGCGCCCACGGAGGCTGATTCTGCGATAGATTCTGTAAACGTTGCAGAACTAAACGACGGTCCGCCGTCATTGACGTCAGTCACGGCAATATCAATATAGACAACCGTGGACAGCGCTCCATCCGAAACAGTGACTTCGATTTCAAAAGCATTGCTTGTTTCGTAATCAAGAGCACCTGCATTGAAAAAAATGTTTTGAATTAGTCAATATAACAATTTTATAAAGGTTATTGTAAAGTGTAAAACAAGTTCAATTGTTGTTTTCATTATCAACAATCAGCTTACATTGATGATTTTAATAACCAAAACAAAAATACAAAAATATGCGTTTATACCTTATCCTTTAACATCACCTAATATTCGTTTATAAAATTCGATTGCCTTTAATATATCGCCTGTAAATTACAGTACAATACGGCATTTTCAAAATAGCAAGAGTCCAACGTCATTGCTTGATTCTTAACAAGAAAAAGATGGATCTCAACAACTCACTGTTTAACCGCAACGTAGGTGTGGCACCACTAGTATCTATCACAAAATTATTTGAGGGACTTTGACTTGTAATTGAATATGTTAGACTTGCACTATCAGCATCTGTACATCCAAAATTCGTTATGACGTCCACGCCGGTATCTACGGGTATAAAAAGAACAAATGTGTTTATAGAATATTTGTACAATCATTGGATGACCGTAGTCGATTTTGTAAACCATACCACTTTTCTCAAATAATGTATTGTACTAGAATATGTTTTTAAAATCTATTAAAATTGATGACATGTGATTATACAATATGTAATTGTATCTAAGCAATCACTTTCAAATGACTTGTTACCATAGTTATAACGATTACAACTAAAGATATGTTGTTCTTCAGATAAAGGTGAAAACCTTTGATTTCTTTAGTTATGTGTGCCAAATAAGATCTACTGTTTTTACTTTATCTTTTTCCCGACCTTTCAGACTCCAACCACATTGAAGATATTGTAGATATTTGGCTTTGAATAGTACAAAATTTCGATATTTTCTGGTTTCCGTTTTACTTTACTATTTGAAGTATATAGTACCACATTGTAAGCCCTTAGTTAATATTTTAAAATACAAACCACATATACGAACTAACAAAGAATTCATATATATTTTATCTTTTATATTATGCTACAAAATAAGAATACTAATGTAACTACAAGTGACATATTTTAATTAGTCGCAACGGCAGCGCGTTTTTATTTCTGTGAAAAAATGATTAGTAGAGTCCTTCAAAATATTCACCATGGACCTCCACACACTTTTCAAGCCTCAGAATCCATTCCGAAAAGCAATTTTGAGCTGTTATTTTGATATACTGTTTATAGACTCGTAGAGAGCGCTTCCGACGGCACTACGGGTTTCGAACCGGTGACTGCGAAGGCAAAATTTGATGAATGGATTTAAACAAAAGTCACCAAAGTCGGCAAGGTGAGAATAATTTAAACTTTAACCTTTCTTTCAAGATGGGAAACACATATGACGCACTAAAGCCGGATATGTCACTTATCTCCTCCACTATATATCTTGCATCTTCATCACCTATGGCTTTGACAGTGCTGATGTCTTTTCTTTTTCAAAGGTAGGAAAAATTGGCCGCCCAGGGCGGGGATCTTCCTAAAAGTAGTTGTACCTTCCTTAAACATTGGCACCCACCTGACAATTGTACGATATGGAAGGGCATTTTCTCAATAAACTAAATCTAGATCCGTTTTTATTTCTGACGCGCATTTACCCAATAATCCATGAATTTTGCAATAAGCTTTTTTTGCTACTCTCTCAAATCACAAAGCAATGCAATGTTTACACCACATGTATTTAAATGACCTGCTTAAATTTTGTTGCACGTGCAAATCGTGCGAAAATAGTCGTTGTGACAAAAATCAATAATCTTTCCAACGGCATATAATACATGTACTTGAATCACGTGCAAAAAGTTCCACAAGCATAATCATATTTTAGTGCTTACTTGTATCTTCTGTAACAGAGATCACGTGGGCAGCTGGACTGCATGACGGTGTGACGTCATTTACATTAGAGACTTGAACAGTGACCGTTCCCGATCCAATAAGCTGCAAAGATCACATTTGAAAAAAATCATCAAAACTCCACTCTACAACGAATATCAAATGAATAAAGTCGTGACTCATTATGCAAAGATTGTACCTCCTACCTTTCTTTGAGTAAAATGCCACGTGGTACAACTAAGTACAATCCGTATTGTATCCGAGATAATTATTGCTAACTGGCGAGGTGTAACAAATGAAATCTCAGTCGTGATTAAAAATATTGAAATGTATTGCATATGAAGTATGTGTCCGTGTATTTATGCATATTAAGGAACCTTAAGATATTTGCGATATCGAAGAACATACAAGGGAATTTGTAAATATAAACAAACAAATGTATACAAGATAAAATAGTTAGTACCTGTGGAGTTCCTCCGTCAGTGGCCGTTACCTGGATAACGTAACTGTTAACTCCTCCATCGTAATCTAATGCTTTGGCTAATTTGATCTGTCCGGATGTCGAGTCAATACTAAATAAACTTGTTCCGCTATTAGTAACTGAAAATAAAAAAACAATGCTAAGACGTGAATTTAATATTAAGATGAACTTATTGTGTTTACGTTATTTTAACCATTCGAACGTTAATAGGATTTCTGTCAAACAATTTGTTATATACAGTAGATAGATTATATGTTCATATACAAGTACTTGCCGAACAAAGAATGTTTCCAGACAATTTAAGTAAATTCTAAATATGTTATATAAACCTGAAGTAATGGCATAGGCTTGGATATTATGTGGGGATGCGTCTGCGTCAGAAGCTACGTGTGTTGCTAAATTAGTCCCGACTGCCGTGTCCTCCGCGAATGTAACGTCAACGTTGGCACCAAAAGTAGGTGTGTTTTCATTTACTGCTCCAACTGTAACGTCGACGGGAACTTCAACTGTATTCGTTCCGTCCGAATACTCAACAACTAAAGCATAACTCGTGGTCCCACCGTCGTAATCCAATGCTATAATACATAAGAGTGATATGGCTCTATTTTCGTCATTTTGTATGATTTATTTGATATGACTTTTCGGTGCAACATAAGAATGAAACTTGCTTAACGCCTTAAAATGTGATAACATTTGTTCCTTTTTTGTTATATAACGTTCAATGAATCAATGATTTATGACCTTACTCTATAAGTTTTAGTTATAATATATTTAAGAATCTGTCGTTTCTTAACTATGTAACACTCTTGTTTCAATTTCAGCAATTTGATTTCTTTAGATGTAAATCTAAATAAAAAACATCAGTTAATTGTTGAACTATAAAAAGCGGATATAAATGATTTAAAGATAAATAGTTAAAAGATTGCCATACGTGCATATTCCAAATACTTATAAACATTTCTCAGATATCATTCTGTAAATAAAAAGTACAATTGCTTTATGTTGATAATACATTGTTAACTGTGTCCACTTACTAGCGGCAAGAGTAATCTGGCCGGCAGCACTGATAGCAAACTTTCCCGCAGCATTTGTAGCTCCAAAGCCAAACGTGGGTGTATCGACGGCGTCGCGATCCGAGCATGTTAACGCCACAACCTTCATTGTGTAAAACAGATGTAGTGCTATACAAACTTTAGTTTACTGTGGTATCACATTAAGCTTTCATTATTCATGTGTAACTCGTAATAGTCTAATAACATCAGGGAAATTATATATTGGTCATGTAGAGTTTTATAGTATTATTCTTGCGCTTTTAATATATTACACAATTTTGCCACCTCTTCGTTTCGTTTTAAGGTATCAACTACCGGAACAGGAAAGTTAAAACAAAGATGGTTGATGTACAAAAACAAAATCAGGGGAACTCACGTTATCGTTAACTGACCCTGGCTCATCTACTGTCACAGAAAGTAAATTAGTTGTGCATGTAGGTTTCTCGTCACTGACGTCATTAACGTTAACCGTCACGGACGCTGAAGCGCTTCGTGCCACTGAACCACCATCGGTTCCCGTGACAGTCAAAATATACTGCGGGGTGTCTTCAAAATCCAACCTTTGAGATATTGTTATCTCGCCGTTTGTTGGGTTAATTGTGAATTTGTTGCCTGTGTTTCCACCTAAGATGCAGAAATAATTCAATGAATAATATATTATTAATACACTTGTTACTATATATAGTAACAAAATTGCCTATGATTTCAACTGATTATGAGTGTCACGTGACCTATTATGAATTTGCGGCCCGGGGCCGAGAACTAGTTATCAGCCCGCAGAACATGTGCAAGTGCACAAACTGAAACAATGACGTCATATTTTACGTCATCAAACAGTTAACTGTAAAAGTGAAAGTAGGTTGTCAGCACGAATCGCTTTATTTTTATTATGAGAGCTTAAGCGTATTTAGTACAAACACATTTTTGTTACTATTGAAATTTGAAGAAATAATACGACAAATTCATTCCGAAAAAAATGAAAATAAAACTTGCTTCTAGATTAGAACTAGATTTGAACACACAAACAGTTAACATCCCTGTAAAGAACAGTAGAAGAGTAGACAAGAATTTCAACGAAAGAACTTTGTTGTTGTTGTTTTTTTTAAATGCTACTATTAGATCAAGTGTATTAAAGACATTAATACACGTCAGAGTAGGGCCGGAAGGTGATAATCGGCCCTGAATGAATAATAGCCCTCGGGCTAAAGCCCTCGGGTCCATTATTCATTTTGCGGGCCGATTATCACCTTCCGGCCCTCTCCTGCCGTGTATTAATCTCTTAGTATTCAAACATTAAGTTTAAAACATAGTACTATCCAATGTTCCATCAGCAGTTTTTATAATTGTAACTAGATTTTACAATAGTTGAATATGTGAAATAGCTTCATTGATATACTCAAATATCTTATAAAAAGCAACACTTTCATAATTATACACACTGATGATATTAATTTGATTTCCTAAAAAGATGCATTATTTTGATCTTATTTCTTCTTGGTATACAGCTCGTTAGTTTGCTATTGAAATGAATTGACCCATATATCAACCCTTCGGTTCAATGAAAAGATTAGGTACAAAGAAGGGAATATGTTCTTATATTTTTACCTGTGATTGCATAAGTAAGATCCCCATCACTGCCAGTGTCGGAATCAGAAGCTACTATTGTAGCTACGGTTGTGCCTACAGCTCTATTTTCATCAATCTGGAATGATGATGTAAAACATTGAAAGACAATATTTTTAAACGATTGCTTACATAAAGCTCAAAAAGCAAAGTGACTATTAACATTAAAGCAGCGTCTGCGAGACCAATATTTACAGAACTGGAATACTTCTATACAAAATATGCCCAAGCTTGATTATTACAGAAAATTTAAAACTTCTTTTTGTTATGAAAAATATCTTGATGTTTTAACAAATAATGTGTTAAGAAAAGATTTTGCTTGTTTCAGACTAGGCTCGCATAACTTAGAAATAGAAACTGGAAGATTTTTTAACATTAATAGAAACGATCGCAAATGTAAACTATGTATATATAACTCTATTGAATCAGAATACCACTTCCTTTTATGTTGTCCAATTTATACTATTATAAGAACCAAATATTTAGGACACATTTCATGGCCTACTATACAAAAATTTTCGACTATTGTCCACTAATAACAAAAGGCTTATTCTTAAATGTGCTCACTATGTTCATAATGCATTTAAGTTGAGGCAAAAGTCTCTTGAAGATGTAACTGCTTCTTAATTAGTTTCATTCTTGTACTCTTTTTGTTATATATTGTATGATATAATGTTTGTAACTATTTAACTTTTGGCCATATTTGTCATGATACTCTGTTAATGGCCAAAGGTATTGTTTATTTGCCGATTTGCCAATAAAATGAAATGAAAAAAAAAATTAATTAGCGTTTCGTTACTGTATCAAAAACTGGATGAATTATTTTTGTTTTGTTCTCGGGCCTACTATGTTTGCTATAAAACCGTTACGTTCTTTTGATATACCGGTTAGTCCCTAACGTTGATTAAAAAGTATAATATTTATTCAAATGTCAAAGGTTTAAACTGTAAATAAACTCTTTACTTACATAAAATAATAGGAACTATAAATATACATGCAATCTCTTCTAGAAAACAATACTATACATTTCACTTTTGAACTTCCTTTCATCTAGTGTTCGTATATATACATATATCAAGCACTTCCTTTTTCATTTAGATAAATTTTGTACGATCAATTTAAATTCATACACTTTAAAATAAGACAGTGTAAATTATTTACATTTTGCGTTACATCAGACGCAAAAGTAGGATCATGCTCGTTCTCTGTTGTTATGGTTACAGTGACCTGACAAGTACTGGAGAGAGCTCCATCAGATACTTTCACGATCAGGTTATATGTAGAATCTGCGCCAGTATCCAGGTCAACGACAGCTGTAGATAAACAGAAGATGGTTGAAGACATAGTGAATTTAAGTTTCTAGTGTGGCTTGTGATTCTCTTTATTAATCAAAAATATCTAATTCTTTTTTGTAATATCGTTCAATATCTTTTCGTGAACAACGGGTATCTGCATACTCACCATAATAGCCATATCGGTAGTTTCTTGTTTTACTATCTATTTACTTTAATTAAACACCTAAGTTTGATATATAGGTTTAAGATCATATTTTATGACTTTGGCATTTTTTCCATTTACTTCATCTTTTTAATAGTTTTTTTTTTATATTGTGTAATATCCTTGTTTTAAGGTGAAAGGCACATTGTGATCTTCTTACTTTACCTTTTAAGTTTAGTTGGTTAGGTGTTGTTGTATCCAGTCCGAAATAAGTACTGTAAGAAGAAGGTGTACTTGACGTTTCTATACTATACGTCAGAGTAGCTGCTGTTTCGTCATTATCTGTCGCCGCCAATGTTAAGAGACTAGTTGCTGCAGATAGAATAAGTTCAAATTTGAGAAGTTTTACAAAATTTAATTGCCAAAAGACCTTACCAAAACTATGTTGACTGTACTGTATTTCATATCAAATGCAAAAATATTCTACGGATCTATTTTCAGTTAAATGTCAGAGGGAAGTAAACGTTTAAGCAAAAAAATAAACGGCAAAATCTGTTTTCAATATAATTATGTGGAGTTTAGTTTAATAATTTTAGTTTTCTCAAATCTGAATAATATAATAGATGTTATCCGGAACTCTGCAAATGTGGATTTTTCCCAGCTAATCCGTAGGTACAAACAAACTTTACCGTTATAGCTTCACGATGCACTACCGGTCACACGTGTTGTGCTTACGGTATTTCTCTAAGCTGTAACTGTAAAGGGAAAAAAACAAATTATTCTTAATTCCGGAGTAACTCTATTCTATAGCCAGGATACCTGCAGCGGTTGATTCAACTTTTGAAACAGAGTAGATATTTTGAGCAAATGTTGGCGTATTGTCATTGACGTCAGTTAGTCCCACTCTCACAGTCCTCTCAACAGAACGAGCAGGTGTTCCTTGGTCGATAGCTTTAACAATGACGTCATAATATTCAACACCCATTGTTGCGGTATCGCGGTCGAAACTGTTACTTGTTGTCGTCAAAATGCCTGTAACTTGGTCAAGATGAAACAAACCAGTTTCTGTTGTTGAGGCGCCTGAAAAATAAAATCATATCTTTTCTATAAAACTATTTCAATTTAGAATTCAAATACAAAGTAAAGCACGTCAGTAATTATATTATGCGGAGACATATGCTTAAACGCGCGAGAGAGAATGTAAGTTCCCGTAAAAATAAAATGAAACATAAGAACTACTAATAATAATTCATTAGTAACAGTTTATCAAGAACCTTACTGGATGTCACTGTGCCCAGTGAGTACAAGATCTGGCCGTCACTACCGGCATCACCATCTGTAGCCGTTATGGTAACGATGGTTGTGCCTATGCCCATGTTTTCAGCATAAGTTAGCGCTGTTGTGGCGCTTGTCCATGCCGGTGAGAACGTTCCCCATGCTGGATCATCCTCATTTACATTTGATATCTGAAATATTTATTAATTAATATAAATAATGATTACTGAACTATGCCAGCAAAATATGATTTAAATATAGGACATGGTGATAGTCGAATTAATGTAATCGATTTTTAAATGCCATTACATAGAAATTTATTTAAAATACAATTTTGAGAGTTTACGAGAAAATACTACAACACTCTAAGAATGCAGCAGTTAACTCCCCTTGATCAGTACAATATAACAGCAATAAATACAAATGTAGTTACTTTGAGACCATGTTGTAGAATCAAGAAATTTTATTAAATAATTTCATTTCGGACCTATTGCCCCTAAAGATGGTTGCTCAGTTACGAACTAAGAATATTATTTTTTCATAATTTAAGATTGTCTTCCTTTTGAACTTTCAAGCACAAATATACTTAACATGTTCCTTTTTTAGGAGTTATACAACAATAACAACATTACTTCTGCCGATTAAAGGCTGCCAAAATAAAGCTTTATACCCTATTTGATACATGAGTGTAAAAATCTAAGTTAAGATAAAAAAATATTCATAGCAGAATTTGTCAGGACATGTTCTACTTTTATTAACTTTTTCAGTTGATTATCTAGTAAAAATCATAGAATAATTAATCATAGATTCCATGAAAATCACCAGTGAGGACTATCTTTTAGTATAAAAGACTGCTCAATAACTTTTTAATATTTACAATTGACAACATGTTTTGCAGGTTTTTCTGTAAAGAACGTATTTTATAATGTACTTTGTTAGTTTGTCAGTATTTAGGTTTCTTACTTACCGAGACAAATACCGTCGCTGTGCCAATGTTTGTCCCATCAGTAGCTGTTACTATCAATTTGTACAAATAGTTAGATGCCGTAAGAGTGTCGTAATCGATAGGATTCGATGAAGTTTCTATGAGCTTTCCGTTCCCCGCGGCAATATCAAATTTATTTGAAGTATCGTCTCCGGATAGAATATTCACGGTGACCGTGTCGCTAGAATCAGCGTCCGTCACAGTCACTAAGACAACCGATACATCTGCAATCAAGAGCAACAGTCAGCAATGCATGGTCATAAACTACGTAAATATTAACGACTTCAAAGTTAGAATACTTGTTTTAGGATTATAATACACAACATTACGTTCTTCCTAGAATAGTTGGGACAAAACATACTGGAGTACAATTGTACATGTATTGTGAACATTGAAATGGCGCAAATATTTTAATAATGTAATATTGTAATTTTAAACAAAGGGAACATGTTATATGTGATACATGGACTTTATATACCAAGTTCTTATATATGTTTATCGTTTCAAATAAAAGATTCTTCTCTTTTGTGTTATATGAAATACAGAATTTAAAAACTACCTTAAATGCCATTATTTGTGTATGATTCTATAACAGATTTATAGTATAGTAGGCAATATTTATTTACCTTGAGCTGTATTTTCCGCTATTGAGGCGTAATAAATTTCAGGAGAAAATTTCGGGGTATTATCATTTACATTCAATATATTTATCGTCATAGTTTCTGTGTCTGATAGACCACCGCCGCTGTTAGTGGTGGCTCTGAAATATATATGACAAAACCAACATAATGCGTTTGCGACCAGCATGGATACAGACCAGCCTGCGCATCTGCGCAGTCTGATCAGGATCCATACTGTTCGCTGTCAGTTTCACTACTTGTTATAGGGTTTATAAGCGAACAGCATGGACCCTGACCAGACTGCGCGGATGAGCAGGCTGGTCTGGATCCATGCTGGTCGCAAACACATAACGTTGTTTTTGTCATGACGCGGCTCATATTATGATATGATTTTATATAGATATTTTGAGAGAATTATGTAAAATGCAATCCTATTTATATAAATACAAGTCATGATAAGAAATAACTCGTCTCTAAAATGTCTATGATGCTTTGTAACCTTTTTTCTGTTGTTATCAAATAGATCAACCCTGAATCTGTAAATTGGGTGTTACCAGTAATACAATTATAAAGAAGACTATTAAAAAAGTTTTGAAATTAGCATGATACAGTGTTAAAGATGTTGATCTTTATGGTACGTGTATCACCAGATCCACAAGCAGTTTGTCTCGCAATTTGAAGGTATGTGTATCAACTGTTTAAATTCAGATTAAAACTATTTAAGTATTAACAGAAACGTTCAAATGTAAAAAGCAGCACATGTCTTGTGCTTTCAGCAGTTAACTGCTGTCGTAGTTGTCGCTGTCACTTTCATTATCATTATCAGATTGTTAATAATGTTGTCGTTTCTGTTGTTGTTGTTGTTGTTGTTGCTATTTAATGGTAAAACTTACTGTAATGTTAAGGTGTAACTTTGAGCCGCGTCGGTCTCATAATCAAACTCTCCTGCCGTGGTTATCTGCCCCGTCGAGCTGTCTATAGCGAATCTAACAGGTGTGGCAGGTGCCTGAGACTGTATGGCGTATGTTATCGTACCATTATCAGCATCAGTTGTTACAACTGTGTAAATCGAAGTTCCGGTTGCGGTGTCTTCATTTATATCAATGCTTGTCCCGCTCCCAGGAGTTACGAACACAGGAAGAGCCCCTATTGGAGGAAATGTTCAAATTTTGAAATTGCTCATGTTAGCTTTAACATAACTTAACATTTAACTATTTCCAAAACGCACACCCCCTAATGTCCTACTTTATGACCCATTCACTATATCCAGTGGTTGCATGGTTTTAATGTGATTTTAGATGTATAATTATAATACAGGAGGAAAAAGGTATACCAACGTGTTTCATTGATATTTTTAGTTTGGTACAGTAATACATTAAAAGCACAAGTCTTCTTTGCATTTTTGTTTCATTTTTATTAGTTTGTCATCATTTGTTCTTCATAACCATTCTTGAAGTTACAATAAATTTTACTACAAACTAAAGCCTCTTTATGATGTACAAGTATGTATGTGCTTGATACAATCAATATGCCGTCATAATAAATCTTTTATAAAACATGCACACACTTTGGCATGAAATATATCTTTTTCCTGTTTAAATTTGGCAAACCTTAACAAGTATTGTTATGATTTTGTCACAACTGTATTATCAATAACATACCTTGTGATATCTGCACACACACAAAGGCCGTCAATGTAATTACTAAAATTTGTTGAGAGGTAGCGTGTGCCATCGTCACACACCACGTGACAAGCGTATGCACGCGTTGCTTGTCGACGTCTGCTTAAAGGTAACAGTTGTTTCTGTTCTCCTAGACAGCTTTAAACGCTACCACCATCTACCTAAAACGAAATTATCAAAGTTTTATTGGATCATTTCAAAATGCTCCGATTTTGTTTTGCTATGATTTCTTTTTCGAACTCCTGCACTATGTTTTAGTTTAAGTGACATACATTAATATTAAGATATCATGTCATAAGTAACATTATTTTGTATCATTACGTTCTAATACAAAACCTTTTGCAAATTGCATGTTTATTTATTTATTTATTTATTTATTTATTATTGCCTTCGTTCATTGATTTATTTATAATGAATTAATTCACTTCTTTATTCATATTTTTTGTATTTTCATATAGATATATGAACATTTGTATCATTTTAGAGTTACAGTAAATAGACTTTGCAGAGCGACCCTCTATATAGCAATTACATCTGTACAACAACAACAACAACAACAACAACAATACTAATATTTTTTCTTCCCGAACTAAAGAGCTTCCACTATGTTTTACCTTCTCTAAGCAAAAACCAAAATATTTTGTGCCAAAAATGGTGTGTCTCTGCAAAGGTTATACAAAGAAATTTGATGCATCTCCTAACCCCAGCAAGTAATAAAATAATAATGAGTATTACTATTGTACAACAGCGCTGGTCGTATGTGACTATAATTCATAGAAAGAAGGCATACTTAAATGAGTATAACTGTGTGTAAACAATGCTGCTTATTAATTTTAACTATATGACGAAATACTATAGAATCCGTAGAAAGAACGCATACTTACTTTATCACTTTTAAAATTTTAATTCCTTAACACGTTCTTGATGTAAAAAGGTATTTTTCCGTAGAAAGCATTTGCAAGTTTATAAAGATCTCGGAAAACATACTTTAATGAAAAAATTAATTCACTATCGTTTAATTTCGTTTATACATAAACAAGAAAAATGTTTTTTAAAAGCATTTTTGTTAACCTAATTGTCAGACGTGATAATCCAACTTAATATCGATTGACAAAAAAAGAGATTAAAGTATATTCTTCAAACGTAACAACACGCAAACACATGTATTAAAGTAAGATTAAAATAGTAAATGGTGTCCCTTATAAAACACGACTATTTATATTTTTTGTGTTGTTTAGATCAAGCAGACAAAAAACGTTATTGTTGTAATTGTCTTTTTTCTCTTTTTGGTGGTGGTGGTTGTGTGGTTGTGGTGGTGGTGGTGGTTGAGTGCTATTGTTGTATTTGTTGTTGTCGACTGTCGTTTGCGATGATTTATCATTATTATTATTATTATTATTATTATTATTATTATTATTATTATTATTATTATTATTATTATTATTACTATTATTATTAATTATTATTATTATTATTATTATTATTATTATTATTATTAGCATTATTATTAGCATTATTATTATCTTCAGCATTATTACGACCACCATCACTATCATCATCACGACCATAATCATTATAATGTAAGACTGTAGACTAGAATTTTGACCAAAAAAAATGTAAAGTATAAGTAAAGGACATTTAGTATGTGAGAAGTTAGCAGTTAACAGTGAGCTAAGCAAAAAGGCATTACGATTTATATAGGGAAATCAATGATCTGCTGTTATGCTCAGCTGGGTAAACAATCTAGCAGAGCATTCCAAAATAAAGTGTAGAAATGCTTTGCTGGTATGCTCAGCTGGGTAAGCAATTTAGCAGACCATTACTAAATAAAGTGTAAAAATGCTCTGCTGGTATGCTCAGCTGGCTAGGCAATCTAGCAGGGCATTCCTAAATATAGTGTAAAAATACCCTGCTGTTATACTCAGCTGGCTAAGCAATCTAGCGGGACATTCCCAAATATAGTGTAAAAATGCTCTGCTGGTTTGCTCAGCTGGCTAGGCAATCTAGCAGGGCATTCCTAAATATAGTGTAAAAAATACTCTGCTGTTATACTCAGCTGGCTAAGCAATCTAGCGGGGCATTCCAAAATATAGTGTAAAAAGCTCTGCTGTTATGCTCAGCTGGCTAAGCAATCTAGTGGGGCATTCCAAAATATAGTGTAAAAATGCTCTGCTGTTATGCTCAGCTGGCAAAGCAATCTAGCGGGGCATTCCCAAATATAGTGTAAAAATGCTCTGCTGGTATGCTCAGCTGGCTAGGCAATCTAGCAGGGCATTCCTAAATATAGTGTAAAAAAACTCTGCTGTTTTACTCAGCTGGCTAAGCAATCTAGCGGGGCATTCCAAAATATAGTGTAAAAAGCTCTGCTGTTATGCTCAGCTGGCTAAGCAATCTAGCGGGACATTCCAAAATGAAGTGGTAAAATGCTCTGCTGAATTGCTCAGCTGGCTAGGCAATCTAGAAGGGCATTCCTAAATATAGTGTTAAAAATGCTCAGCTGGCTAGGCAATCCAGCAGAGCATTCCTAAATATAGTGTAAAAATGCTCTGCTGGCAAGCTCAGCTGGCTAAGCAATCTAGCAGAGCGTTCCAAAATATAGTGCGAAAAATGCTCTGCTGGTATGCTCAGCTAGCTAAGCAATCTAGCAGGGCATTCCTAAATATAGTGTTAAAAATGCTCAGCTGGCTAGGCAATCCAGCAAAGCATTCTGAAAATTAGTGTAAAAATGTTCTGCTGGAATGCTGAGCTGTCTAGGCAAACTAGCAGGGCATTCTTAAATAAAGTATAAATGTCGTTGGTCTGCATCTGATTATTTGGCACTCGTAGACTTTCTAAAATATTTAGTGCCAATGCAGATAATGACATTTTCTACTTCTACGGGACCCTTTAGTGTCTTTTTCTTAGGTCTCCGACTGATTCTGGGACGATCGCAGACTTTCAGGAATTTTTGGTGTTAATGCAGATAATGACATTTGTGAATTTTTAGGACCATCCAGAGTCCATTTCGTTGGTCTGCGAATGTTTCTGGAACACTCGCAGACTTTCAGAAATGTTCGGTGCCAATGGAGATAATGACATTTTTACTTCAAAAGGACCCTCCTGAGTCTATTTCGTTGGTCTGCGACTGATTCTGAGTCGCTCGCAGACTTTCAGGAATTTTGGTGTCAATGCAGAAAATGATATTTCTGACTTATTGGGACCTTTCTGAATCCATTTTTGGGGTCTGCGACTGATTCTGAGGCACTCACAGACTTTCAGGAATTTTTGATGTCAAGGCAGATAATGACATTTTTTACTTCTAGGGACCATCCAGGGTCCATTTTTTTGGTCTGCGACTTAATCTTTGACAGTCACAGACTTTCAGGAATTGTTGGTGCCAATAGAATTAATTACAATTTATGACATTTTTGACCATCCAGAGTCTATTTCGTTGGTCTGCGACTGATTATTGGGCACTTGCAGACTTTCAGGAATTTTTGGTGCTAATGCAGATAATGACATTTTAGGGGTAAAAATGCTCTGCTTATGACTAAGGGGTCCTTAAAAGTAAAAAAGTCATGATCTGCAATGGCACTAAACATCCTGAAAGTCTGCGAGTCGCAAGGAATCAGTCGCAGACCCAAGAAATGTACTCTGGCGGTTCCCTAAAAGTCAAAAATGTCATTATCTCCATTGGCATCAAAATTCCTGAAAGTCTGCAAGTGTCCCAAAATCAGTCGCAGACCAGCGAAATGAACTCTGGTTGGTCGCTAGAAGTCAAAAATGTCATTATCTTCATTGGCACCAGAGATTCCTGAAAGTCTGCGAATGTCCCAGAATCAGTCGCAGACCATAAAAATGGACTCTGGCGGGTCCCTTGAAGTAAAAATTGCCATCCTCTCTATTGGCACCAAACTTTCCTTAAAGTCTGCGAGTGTCCAACGATACGCTGCAGGCTAATGAAATGGACTCTTAAATGTCCATAGAAGTCAAAAATATGATTATTTCCATTGGCACCAACCATTCCTGAAAGTCTGCGAGTGTCCAAGAATCAGTCGCAGATGACCAAAATGGACTCTTGAGGGTCCTTAGAAGTCTTAATTGTCAATATCAGCATTGGCACCAAAATTCCTGAAAGTCTGCGAGTGTCCTTCAAAACGTCGCAGGACAATGAAATAGTCTCTTACAGGTCCTTAGAAGTCAAAAATATCATTATTTCTATTGGCACCGAAATACCTGAAAGTCTGCGAGTGCCTCAGGATTGCCTAGAACTCGAAAATGTCAATAAAACTTTGGCAACAATAAATCCTGGAACTCAGAATTAGTCTGCCAACTGAGCATTCCACCAGAGCATTTTTAACTATATTTCGGAATGCCCTGCTAGATTGCCTAGCCAGCTTAGCATTTCACCAGAGCATTTTTACACCATATTTAGTAATGCCCTGCTAGATTGCCTAGCCAGTTGAGCATTCCACCAGAGCATTTTTTCACTATATTAAGGAATGCTCTGCTGTAGTGCCTAGCCAGCTGAGCATTCCAGCAGAGCATTTTTAAACTATATCTAGTAATGCTCTGCTAGATTGCCTAGCCAGCTGAGCATTCCACCAGAGCATTTTTTCACTGTATTAAGGAATGCTCTGCTATAGTGCCTAGCCAGCTGAGCATTCCTGCAGAGCATTTTAACACTTTATTTAGTAATGCCCTGCTAGATTGCCTAGCCAGCTTAGCATTCCAGCAGAGCATTTTTACACTATATTTCGTAATGCTCTGCTAGATTGCCTAGCCAGCTTAGCATTCCAGCAGAGCATTTTTACACTATATTTAGTTATGCCCTGCTAGATTGCCTATCCAGCTTAGCATTCCAGAAAAGCAATTCTTCACTATATTTAGTAATGCTCTGCTAGATTGCCTAGCCAGCTTAGCATTCCAGCAGAGCATTTTTACACTGTATTTAGTAATGTCCTGCTAGACTGCCTAGCCAGCTTAGCATTCCAGCAGAGCATTTTTACACTGTATTTAGTAATGCTCTGCTTGATTGCCTAGCCAGCTTAGCATTCCAGCAGAGCATTTTTTTCACTATATCTAGGAATGCTCTGCTATAGTGCCTAGCCAGTTGAGCATTCCTGCATAGTATTTTAACACTTTATTTAGTAATGCCCTGCTAGATTGCCTAGCCAGCTTA